TAGTCACTATAAATGGATGTACTGTCGTTAAGGAGGGCAGCTGTAGTCACTATTAACGGATGTACTGTCGTTAAGGAGGGGAACCGTAGTCACTATAAACGGATGTCCTGTCGTTAAGGAGGGTAGCCGTAGATACTATAAACGGATGTTCCGTCGTTAAGGAGGGTAACCTGAGTCACTTGAAACGGATGTACTGTCGTTAAGGAGGGAAGCTGTAGTCAATATTAACGGATGTACTGTCGTTAAGGAGGGTAGCCTGAGTCACTTAAAACGGATGTCCTGTCGTTAAGGAGGGTAGCCGTAGATACTATAAACGGATGTTCCGTCGTTAAGGAGGGTAGCCTGAGTCACTTGAAACGGATGTACTGTCGTTAAGGAGCGGAGCCGTAGGCACTATAAACGGATGTACTGCCGTTAAGGAGGGTAGCTGTAGTCACTATTAACGGATGTACTGTCGTTAAGGAGGGTAGCTGTAGTCACTGTAAGCATCTGTACTGTGACTGCTTCATAGCGATTGTAACAATATCCATTCGTGATTTATCGATATCTACAAATTCTTAATTGGATATTTTAAGGCAAACACAAGAAAGAGTATTTTTCATATAAGTATTTATCTCTATTTTGACGGCGTTTACCGTTTAATTTGTTGTATTCGCGCAGTTAGCCACGAACATTTACTGTATTGTGCGCGTTACCGCTCAATTTGAAACAAGTATAACCTTCTTTTTTGTTTAATGCGTATAAGCTAATTTCTTCACAGTCATAATTTTCTAAGCTGAAGACGGAAGAGATGTAAATATTGACCAATGTAATACATATACACTGCATCGAAGCAAAATGTCATTCTTTTAAGGAGTCTCGACGATGAAGCAGATGATGATTACCCTGGCAACAAACGGTCTTACAAAATGTATATTCTTTGTACTTTTTGAAAGTTTTCTAAGGCGATATTTTCTGTATTCAGGTTTTCTGCTCGTTTAATCGATTTTGATTATCGATTCGATGTTACAATTACCTTTTGAAATATACTTTATACTATACATTTCAATTTGAACATTATCAAATGTCTGTTTTAAGGTATACGAAACGTATTTTGGAGAAATTAAAAAAATGTCCCCTCCGAAATAACGGAATGCCCGGGTATACATGTATCTATAACTTTATATTCTGTCTTTGCAAACACCTAATTAGGACATACAGTAGGTCAAATGCACTATATGCCAGATACGCCGTCAGTACATAGTAATATGTTTGGGGAGCATTCCCGTATCCCAACTGTTACTGCCCATACAAATTATTGATCTTCCCGGGCAGATTATTATTTATTTTTTAAGATGCTTTAAAAACGATTTTATAGTATATAACTGTTGTAATGAGTCCCCTTTTTTAATAAAAAAAATAGATCTTAGAAGGAAATCAGTCTTATTCATGTTTATGTAGGATTGAATAATTTCACCATAGCAACCACAACCGTAACTACGTCACACTCCAACGATGCATAGATAGAACGCATTATGTAGAATTAGAACACCAGTTGGGAAATCAGCATGAAAGCATTTCTACCAACATATGGATACTAATTTACTTATAAAAAAAATGATTAATCAATGAATGCACTACACAGAGAAGCGCATTGAATTACACAGAGAAGAGCAGCATACAGATAAGCTTACAGTCTACGTCATAGAAACGTCATCGTCGTCATCACGACCTGATTTCGTCTCATATCACTGGTGATCGACGTATGCTCCTGGTTTGACCGGATACAACATGAGTGTTCCCCAATGTAGCTTAGGAAATCCAACCTTTCCGGACTTTTGCTTCCGGTTCTTCTAGGTTGTTCGTTATGTTCTTAATTTGTTTTTGTGTCTGCTAGGTTTCTGTTGTCATTCCATAATGGCTTTGCGTTACAGTGACTTTCTTTTGTGTTTAAGCATAATTGTGTGTGTTCTATTTCACTTGTATTATGGCAATTGATGTGAAACAAAGCTGAGTTAGAAATACAAGACAATATAGTTAGTGAATATATCTTCCTATTTCTTATTATGATCTTCCTATTTCTTATTATGAAAGGGCTTTAAGGATCCTTGTCCCACTTAACTGTGTTTTTTCCTACAGTATATGTAGACCCCCAACCCCTTACCTTAATTTGGCTATAACTGTAGAAAAATTGGACCAGGACTTCTGTCAACCAGGAAGATCAATCAGTTAGAGCGATATTCCACCAGCCAGTGGTGGAATCCGGCTCTAGCCCTTTGTTTTATTTTTAACCAGAACACTGCTGTTGATAATATTTTGTATATTTCATTTATTATTTCTCATAAAAAAATTCCATTCAGCAATTATTCATCTACGCTAAAATCATGATAATGCTGGGGAAAAAAACAGGTTCCGATACTTTTTGCAATGGTGCGGGCGGGCATCTCTCATGCTTACAATGACACAATTCTGACATCCATGTCTTTTATGTAATTGTAATAAAATGTAATAACATAACCGTTCATAATTAAGCATTGAACTGTTTTTGTATGGTATTTATGATCTATTTGAATGACACAGCTTTGCAAGCAAACAACATAATGCGCGCTAGCGCATTATGATTTGTTTGCTTGCAAAGCTGTGTCATTCAAATAGATCAATATCATACAAAAACAGTTCAATACTTATATTTACGTTTTCTCTGCCTCTTATCTTATAATTATATAATTAAAATTAAAAATGCCCGCCTTATCGACAGTTCACACAATTTCGTTCAATAGTTTGAACAGCGTATTGTCGCGTGCTGATTGGCAAACAAAGTAGTACTTTGACATTTTAACAAACACTTCAAATTTATTCCACAATTTAGTATCAATACAATTGCGTATGATATGTCTATAGGGTGATTCCAGTTTTTCAATAGAAATCTGAGCTGAAAGTTAGATTTGAAATTGTTTCGATTTTCCCCCGGAACAAATTTCGCGCATGGATAAATACAGTGAACACCGTGAATGGGACCTTGACCTCCACGAGGGAGTTATTTTTGGAAGTTAATTCGAACTTTTCTCTTTGCTCGTTTTGTGAAGAATCCAGGCGTGAATGTATTTGTTGATTGTATGGGAACCCGACAACAGTCGGTAGATTCTATAACAGCATCGTTATTTGACATGTCGTCTGAAACTGAGGAACCGTGGATCCGAGACGCGTGAAACTGATAGCGTTTGAAGTGAGTGATCTTGCGACGGAGCACAGGTTCGTTACAAATGTCTGAAATGACGAATGTTTATGTGTGCTGTGACTCATATCAGTAGGTCTGTAACATATGTGTCAGTAGGTCTATAGAATATGTGTATTTCAGACATTTATAACGAACCCCTGTTGATCAGTGCAGTGTAACAGACGATATTTCTGATAAATTGCATGAGCGTTAAAATTGTTTCCATTGCCGGCATTGGTGATTTCAACCGATGTGCATTTTGTACGATATTGCAGACCTTGGTCTTGTTTTCGTTGTAATAAAAGTGTTTTTTATTTTATTTTTTATTTTGCACATAAAGTTACAATGACATTATCAAATCTCACAATGCCCAGCGATATTTCAGCAGCCGTCATGTTTATTTACATTGGATATTGTAGTTCCGGTCAGTGTTGTAATTAATACGCTAAGAATTGTGTCTCGTGCGGCATGGTAATTATGTCTCGTGCGGTATGGTACTTAAAGTCCCATCAACGACACAGCTCTCAAAGAGGCTATATAGTGACAATGCCATGCAAATGTAAATATTTATATGTCATGTCGGATTAGATAAGTAAAAACAAACTGCCAAAACTGCCCCTCTATTGAACTGTTAAGAGTTTTAAGGTTGCTCAACACACCTCGAAAAATTTGACAAAAAAACAATGAATGTTTCTTGTTAAAATACCTATGCTTACCCAATAACTTCCTAGACATAGAAAATGGACGCAGATGACGTTGAGTAATATGAGACTAGAACCAAGGGGCCTAGCCAGACAAAGCTCTATCTGCTTACGATTTTGTGTAGGCAGGTAATGTTATTATGCTGACGCAGCTGTTGTTATTGTTTCTATAATCAAAACGTATAGGTTAGTAGGTAAGGTTTTAAACTCTAAAGCATTGTTAGCTTAGTTATATGTAAGTGACCGTAAAAATCACCTTTTCAAAAAGGTCACACATAAGTGAAGCTGTTATATGCCTCTAAAGGCATGGTATATTAATTATGTGACGATTCAAATTAGAGTTATATACCTGTAACACTTATTGAACCAGACTAAGGGGAATACATGTAACAAAAGTCACAGACATATAAGACAAGGAACCTGTGCATGTAGCATGAAAGCAAAAGGAATCGACAACCAATGTGTTCTTAATGACACTATTGTAGCATCATAACGTATACAACCTTTGAACATAACTGCTGTTACCCACTGCATGTATCGTAAGAGGCGACTAATGTTGGAATTCCCAGTAGAACTAGGGGTTTGATTCTGTGCCCTGTGGGGAAACGAAAGCGACAAAAAATCAATCTGCTGCACCCATTACAATATTTGGGATCTTTATGTTTCTTTCTACTTCTGACTACCTTTTATTTTCTAGCGCTTAGCTTATATTTCTTTCTACTTCTGACTACCTTTTATTTTCTAGCGCTTAGCTTGGCAATACCTTACTTTTGGTTTTAAAGTTGAGCGTTCGCCCAGGTGAGGAAGGCAATGGGTTCTGTCCCCAGGCAAGGACATTAAAAAGTCATAACAAATGGGACTTGTTATTCCCTGCTTAACGTTCAGTATTTGGGGAAATGGCAACACCCATGTCAGCATAATGTGACCGGGAGGAATGTTGTGCTGAGTGCCTTCGGCATGGTGTTTTAGTGAGGAAATGCACCGTCATACCTTTAACTATATTATGTACACCATTAGTTTGGATGTTCTTTCTCTACGAGAAACCCCTTTGTATTATACTGGATAACTATGTTTAATTACAACTGTTGTTGTTACATTTTCAGATCACTCAGGAAAAACAAGATCGAATCCCTGTCCTGGGAGATTATTGATGGGCCACATGTCCTTCAGCTGTAAGTGTATAGAGCGTCGTGACTCCAATATATCTTTGTTACCGAAGACTGATTTTATTTTCATCTGATTCCAAATACATGTAGTTATCTAATTTCTGAAACGTTTGCAATACTACCATTACAACTGTGTATAATTGTTTGCCAATATCCCCGCTACAGTATATGCCTGCATGTATTGTAAGTTGAACCGCTTAAAAGCATTTCATGATATGTGTCGTTTACAACTCTGAAGTCGGTATCCCAATGCTCAAGGCAAAAAACAACATCACAGGTCAAATGTCGGTATGAAAGCCTTTTGAATGACTGAATATTAAATGTTCTTGTATATAATATTTATTTAAGGATTGAAATGCATATGTATTACGTTTATGATGGTGTACAGTTCAGTTCAAACAAAGCCCATGTTTTGTAGTTGAATATGGATCGACGCTTGATCGAAAGTGGGTGCTTGGTACTTAGATCGAGTTAGGGTGAATAATTTAAAAAGTCGCATTTATTTAAAATGTATATAAATATCCCGTACATTTGATTTGGAATATTAAAATTTATGAATGTGAATAAAAAAGACGAAATCTTATCTCAATGCAAAACGTTAAAAATTAGTTTATATAACAGGAGTAAGGTGGGGGTTCGATTTGGGTGTTTTTAAAGCGGAAAGTATCTTAAATATTATTGAACTTCCATACAAACATCTTTCGTCAAACAAAATTGGTTAGAAAAACGTAAATGGCGATTGCTGTCGATAGGCCATTAAACACAGAGTAATTGAAAAAAAACAAGAAACTGTCAGTATAACTTAAACTCTTGTCTATGTACATGGCTTTTTTTTTTGCAACGGTCATTTGAACAAATTTTCTTCGACAATTTTGGACGAGATAACGACCCTTAAACCTAGGATTTTATTGCTCAGTATGAATAATATGCAATATATACGTATATGTTTTTGTCTGCCAATAGTACATACATACGACCGTTCTTTAAATTTATATTTAAAACTTTTGCTTACTCAAAGTGACCGAAAGAGTAACCTTGTCACAGTCCGGTGAATTATATAAGATAAAACGAAAGAGTGATAATATCAAGATTTCTGCCAATTTTGAAATTAATTCAATATTTTATAAGATTTTATATTGTTATCAATATAACTTTATTATATTTTTATTGTAATTCTAAAAATAAATCATTTTAAAGACCCGAGGCTTTATTTTGATCCAAATGCAATCGATATAAACAAAGTATTTAAAGAAGACACACATTTAGCATGGAATCGAGAAAAAATGGAAATCGGGTAGTTCAAGAAACGACCTCAGATTAATCCTCTGACATGAATGATGAAACTGATTCGTATATCAATAATAGTTACCGAATTAGTATAGTTATGTTCGATAGCTACCTGTATTATCTGCTCTCAAATGTAATGATCTTCAAAATTTAGTATGAAAATACATATCTTTGAAGGATAAGAAGACCTAATTGACCTCCTTGTCGTATTCCAGTTTTTTTATCAACATATTCCATTGCTAATTTTATGACTAATATCAAGTTCTAGATTCTTATTCTAATCTGATGTTCATCCTGCTTTTCTAATCAATGGTGGTTTTTTTTAAATATTTTCAAAATTTGAAACCCCAAAATGGTTGCGTCCATTCATAAAAAAGCCATCGAAATGAGTACCACATAATTCTGAAAAGCCCGATTTCGCCTACAGTTTGTTCCTTATGTCCGGGTACAATGTATTGATCTCTCCGATTATATATTTTTTCTGCTTTTCTTTAGAAAAATGTATGTGTTAGCTAATAAATAAATTGGATATAAAAATGTCTTTAAAAAATAAATCAAATATAAAAATTTAAAAAAAAAGAGAAAAAGTATTCAGCCTTAGCTTTTTATCTCCCATCGCTCTGTATCAGACATCAATACCATACATCTGTCTACGAACGTAACCGATAGACATTAAATCCCGTTTGGTTTCCAGTGTCCCCGTGTTCATTCTCTCTTTAAAATGCTTTCTGATATCAATCTCGCTCGATATATTGCCCATTAGTCAAAAACTGTGACGTTAAAAAGATGGCTTCTAGTATACAAATGTACTCTAGCTTTTACAACGGAGACACATTAGCTGGATAAAGATTATGCGGATCACAAACAGAGCCCATGATCTTGTTCAAAGCACTGTAACTGGTAAATCTCAAAGAATTTCACATTCATTGAAATTTATAATGAATACTGCAGTATTTTAAATGAACAAAACCTTTTTTCCATATGTTTAACAAAAACATTCATTTTTAACACTTGAGTTCACAGAGTTTAAAAATATTATTATAATCATAATAAATCAATGTAACAGAAACAAAAATCAATTCAATTCACATGTATTGCAGTCGTACAACTTGACTTTCATTTGAAACTAATTATGGTGAATATGGGTAATGATGGACAAGTTTAGAAAGTAGAAGATTGTAGAAGATAAACTCAAAATGGACATATTGTTGAAGGACTGGTGTGATATATATATATATATGTGTATATATAAGAAATGTAACTAATACATTTGCTTTGATTCCAGGATTGTGGATGGCAATCGTCTGCCTTGTAATTGTACAAGTATCTGGCTAAAATTCCTCCTTAATATTAAATCTGCCTTGGTGTCCACTGGCAACTACATCACGTGTATCGCGAAAAGAGACAACGAGACGATAGAAATGGACCTCTCCACGGCTAACATCACAGGTTGTGGTAAGTAGAGACAACGAGATGATAGAAATGGACCTCTCAACAGCTAACATCACGGGTGATGGTAAGTAGAGCCAACGAGACGATAGAAATGGACCTCTCAACAGCTAACATCACGGGTTGTGGTAAGTAGAGACAACGAGACGATAGAAATGGACCTCTCCACGGCTAACATCACGGGTTGTGGTAAGTAGAGACAACGATACGATAGAAATGGACCTCTTCACGGCTAACATCACGGGTTGTGGTAAGTAGAGACACGACTGGTATTGACGAGTTCTGACACATGTGCAGGTTCGGGTAAATAATAAACCTGCTGCATCACATTGCATGTCATAAGGGCGACTTATGTTTGTTTTCACTGCAGAACATCTTGAGGAAAAACAAAATTGTTCTGCTGAAACATTCCGGTTTCTTTTAATACTCTACTCTTCTTTTCGGTTGTCTTCCTAGGCACCCGTATTTCACATGACCTTAACTGATGTGATGACGTTAAACTCAACACAAACAAATACAGGCAAATCAACATATGAATCTTGCATATACCTAAACATTTTTCAAGTATTGTAACCACTTTATTTTGATGATTGATGACGAATCATTCCTTTCTTATTTCTTTTTTTTCATTGTTTGATACCTAGACTATTTCAACAACTGCAAATTGATGACATAATAACTAGTTCGTAAACAACCATTCAATGACATCAAAAAGCCTACACTTCCAGTGTTTTCCCTTCCCAGCTTAGTTAAGTCCTGACTGGCTTTGAGAGGTATTTTGAACAATTGTTAAATACATACTACATGTTTAGGGCATAAGGCATGATACTGTATTTCACTCATAGAGTGCATTCAAAGGATGACTGCATATTTCAAAGACTTGTTTAAGGGTGTGTAGATCTTTTGTTTGTCGGATGGTTTCTTCATTTCAGGGAAAGTCTTTGTAAACATTTTGATTGTCAGATACTTGCTTGATATCTCTATTTGACTGTCGAACGAGTTGAAATATAAGTCATTTATTGCGAAAACTTTCAAGAAGAGTTGGTCTTTTGAATTTTCGGCAGTTGAGCAGTTCTGGTGTTGTAATTGACCGACTGGAATGTTCATTGGTAAAGATGTCAGATGAGGAACCTCTCGGCAGTTTTCATTGGTTCAGCTGAGAGTTGAGCTTGGGTCTGGGTTTCAAGTGACTCAACTCAAAACTCAAGCTCAACCAATCAAAAATAACGTCATGCAATTCTGCACGTGATTACCGGGAATGACGTCATTGGTTGGCTGAGCTTGAGTTTGAGATTGCCACGACATTGACTGTAACATCCCAGTATCTCACCAAGACCAAAGAAGTATTCGGTATAACATTGTGAAGTTTTTAGTTTGTTCGAAGATTTGATATTGATTGGATGTTTTGAACATATAGTTATTAAGTTTCCAAATATACGGTCATATATATATATAGGGTATTCTTTCAGTTAATGTCAGTAAAACGGTATTTGTCGAGTGCTGAGATTAAAGCTCTTGTGCAAATATTTGGGATACTCGATAGGGTTATGGATCTCAAAAAGGACAATTTTATTTCACCTAGCAGGGTAACCATTATTGTTCTCAGAAAATTTGTCGTTGCACCCTTGTGTGTTGTGAAGATGGCTATCAGACAAGAAAGTGTTTTGTTACCCCCAACAGTGTTACGATTAAAGGTCTCAGAATAAAGGTTGTTTTCCTTGCCTATGAAGCTTTTATTGCAGTTGCATTATTTGTTGTAGCGCAAATTACATTTTGAAACATATTTTATTGGGGAGGTTGTACATGTACATTACTGATTGTTCACAGGCTTTGCCAATTTCCAAGGTCCTCTCCTTGTAAGAAGATGATAATTTATACAATTTTGTAAGGTCTTCTTTTCTAAAGACAATCTTTTTAAACACCTTAGCAAGTCTTCTACTTGTACATGTAGGTAAGAATACGTTTTACAAATGATAGGTTTATCTCCTTGTATAAGACAAGACAACCATATTTCATACAAATGATAAAGTCGTCTCCTTGCATAAGGCAACCATATTTCATACAAATGATAGGTCGTCTCCTTAAATAAGACAGCCATACTTCATACACTTTATCATGTGTTTTCCTTTAAGAAAATCATACATGTACTTCATGACCTCTTCCTCTAAGACAATCATACTTTTAACAACATGTAAGGGTTTCTCCTTAGAAGTTTTCATACTGTATTAAAATGCCCAGACACTCTCTTCGTAAGTCCATCATACTTCACGATTTGATGTTTTTCATTCTAAATACGTGTTTAGCTCTCGTTTATAGATAAAATATATTTATCAAATAATTCAAGGAGGTTTTCATTGGATAACATACAAACATCTGCGTTTATCAGGACATGGGCGTCAACAGTATACGTAGTTCCTAAACAATAGGTAGGGTAGACAAGACAGCTGTAACTGACAGTATTGCACAATAAATAAGGCAACAAAATTAACGAACTGAAGGTAGAATTGATTTTTTAAATTATTTTTAAAAACTGGTCTGTCAATATCCGGTAAACAATTATCGCCCTGTCAATATTCGGTAATCGATTATCGTCCTGTCAATATCCGGTAAACGATTATCGTGTAGTAACACAGACATTCCGGTGTAGCTAATGTAAATGATAATGAGGACACTATCGGTGTGTGCGTGACTTTGTACATTTGCAAAATAAATTAAATTCGGTGTTTTAATTAATAATTAAATTCATAAACAAAACACGATTTTCCTTTCATTGTTCATACTTGCTTCCCAAACGCTCCCTGAGTTATAAGGCTGATCCATCAAACGCTCCCTGAGTTACAAGGCTGTTCCATCAAACGCTCCCTGAGTTATAAGGCTGTTCCATCAAACGCTCCCTGAGTTATAAGGCTGTTCCATCAAATGCGCACTTGTTAATGGTACCGACTGGAAATTTTAGTTTCGGTTTATTTGATTCAAATAAATGACAACTGAGAAAATAACGATAAATAAAGTCATTGTGCTGCATTTAGGTAGCATTCATAGTCAGTAAGATATAGTCTTAATGAAACCCATATGACCTAAGGTATTGCGAGGAACAAACATGTTGAGCAAATAAATATGCCAAAACTATACTTACAACTCCTCCATGTATCAAAAAAATGTTGAATGTAAATACTGTTCTCTTTACTGTCTATTTCCTCGAGTGAAAAAGGACCCTTGTTGTTCCGACCCATTGAAAGGAAACTGATATGTTTTAATAATTTAGGAGTACAATCAGTCTTCATACCCAGTAATGCGAGTCATCTTAACCTAACAACATAACTTATCTTTATAGTTATCAATATCAGATATTGCATGCCTCGTCATATAATTCATATGTAAAAACTTACTATTTTTTCTTTTATGTATAGTACAATGTATGTATAACTTTTTATATATCCTTATCCACTTCACCTAGTCATACCATAAATATTTTTGTATTAGTATCTAAATACCTTGTAGCATAATTTATCTTTTTACCTAGTAATGCGATTTATTCTTATCCCTAGAAATTGTTTTTAATATTAATAGTGCAATTTGTCTTTATACATATTAATACAAATTTCTTACTAATAGAACATATATCCTGATACGTGGTAATACTTCTTTGTAAAATTATCACAATGATTTTTTTATTTTGATTGTTTAACACATATTATCTTCATATCTTACCAGATCGGCCGAGAGTGGAAATATCTAAAACGCTCAGCATTGTCAACACGACTGGTTCTGTACACGTGACGTGTCGAGGTGAAGGTCAGCCTCCACCAATCGTGGAGTGGGATGTGTCACGATTGAAATCAAATTACTCTCTTCAGTCGGCGGAAGATGGACAAGTCCAGAACCTGACCATTCTGTCCGCAAATCCATTGGACAGTGGGGGCATACCCTGTAGTTCACGAAATGTGGCCGGAAAAGTTGTGGCCGAGATGAGATTCAAGGTCAATTGTACGTTTAAAATGTCTTAACGTTGCACGTCATTACAAACTAATTATATTTTCGTTTTACAACAAGATCATAAAAAATAGTTGGCCTATCATGCTAACATTTTTGTGGTACAAAAAATTCAGTTTTATAATTACTTTATAAGTAATAAGTAAGATATATAATATAAATGCAACGGAAGTCAGGGCAGGCGGAATGAGACAACAAAGAGAACAAATTATGTATACTGTACATGATGGTGTATTTAAAGAAACAGAAAATAAATTTAGGACAAATATTATTTTATTAACGTTTTCAGTATCAAACATGTATTTTTTTTATTGTTTCAGCTGCTCCAAACATTACCAAACTTACTCAACCAAAGCCAAATTTTTATTATTGTATAAAATATGAAATAATAGGATATCCAAGACCGGAAGTGAAATGGTATCACGGAGAAAAAGAACTCGTTATGACAAACAACAGGTTTGATGATAATGAAAATATGAACAGTATAAACAACATAACTGGATGTCTAACATTTACGATGAAAGCTCCAAAAAACAACGGACGATATACCTTGGTAGCTACTAATGAATTCGGAACAGATTCACGGTACATCGATGCCGACTTCCGGTTTGGAGGTAAGTGATATTTTCTATGGTTTTACTTCACTTGAATTCAGAACAAGACAACTGTGGTGTGTTATGTAAAGCATCGTTTACATTACAGTTGAGTGTTTCAATGAGAGACAATATCCCTAAATATAGGCCTACAGCAAATACTGTGAAATCAAATACACACACATACATATCACATTTATAAGTAATGAATTATATATGCATGTTTTTAAATAAGGGAGACAATTACATTTTACGGGAAACTGGAAGTGAAAACAAATTAAAGTATCTTCCCTCTCCATTAATATGAATTTTTAAACTAAGTTTTTATTTTTGTTTTCAAACATTTTTTTTTAAGACTGTTATATATGCCGTATAATTAATTGAGAGTAACTTATAATTTATTCCTCAGTGATATCGTTTAACAATACAGTAGCATGCACTACAGAAAAGCACCTGCATATCTGTCGGAAACTAGCACAGACGAGTTATTTGAGGTTATTTGAAAATATCGTGATTGCAAAACAAACATTTAGTCAATAGCTTTGTTAACAGCAAGATGGAACACTGTGAAGGACATCTATCTTAAATATCTGTATGTAGAGGCCTGGATATTGCCTTTTTTTTTTATCTGATGTCACTCATACAATTACAAGTGCCTGTGGTATGTATCATTATTCATTTTATGTCTTGGATTACAAACATCTGTCTCGATCTTTTTTCCCCTCCGATACAAGACAACAAACACGTTGGTGAGAACATTTCTTACTAATGGCCAAAATGTGGACGTTAACATCTCAAGTATAAACGAGCGATGTCACGCTATTCCAAGCTATATAAACAAAAATGATCTCAGTAATGTGAAGAAATATCAGTATGCATAAGGGTACACCCTTCCGCAACACTTCGATGAGATACTGCAATCCAACGAAACTCGAAACTCGATAATCCAACTCTTAGATGCATGTGATTTGATATCACACAAGAAACATAACAGAACGAATGAACAAGAACCAATTTACATGTTCTTTCTGCATCCTTTCGGCGAGCTAGCGGCAAATTAAATATTGTCGTTATGTTGTTTCATGCCAGTCGCTGGCACGACCCCAAGTATATGTATAAAAGTAAATTCGTGTTTCCTAAATCAGGACATTATCACAGACGTGTAAGTCCGTTTAACTCATAGACGTGAAGTGTAGAAAACTGCATCACCAGTGATATTTAATTATTAATAAGTATCCATTCAGAATTGGAAAATTCTTTTCTTAGATTCACCACATTTTCTGATTGTTCAAGCTTGCCCAGTATAGAAAATTCTCCTATATATGGGAAGTCTGCATTCGAGCCAAATTACCATTTTCAATTCCCGTGTTTCCGTGTACCATGTCGGGCTGCCAACAAGGTCGCTGACAGCAATTACTCGGGGTTTACATCTTGTATCATACACACTGAGCCAGACTTCGTGCCCTGAAAATATATTTATTCACCATTTGATACGCATACCGATTTAATTTATCGTAAGTACATACCACAGGTAATTAGGAGACTGAAAACACTCTTCCCTTCAGATTTTCTAATTTCAATACCTTCAAGACCCAGGGAATAAGAATAAAAGTGTTTTCTTTGAAACAGATATTCAACTTCCAATGCAGCTGGGCCATTGGGGGAAAAAGTATATGTACCCAAAACCACAGAGTTCATCGTAAATAATAGTAATTGAAAGTGTAATAAGCGAACATTTACTACTGTAACAAGTGTCCTTAACTCGTTCACCTCTTCCAACTTTTGAATTGAAAGAGTTCAAATGTGTCTTTAGGGGTGAATGAGTTAAACAAATCACAAAACAGTGGTTGACTGACATTGTACACAGATTTTCAATCTATACCGGCAAGATACATGTGCGTATTAACAAAATTTGTTTTAATGCGGTAATGGTGACTGACATATTAATAGATACCGGATCCCACATACAAAATGCAATATATTTTTATGTCGTGACACTAACGGGCTTGCATTCTGCTTAAGATTTCGTAAATGCCAGAAAAATGAATAATTCTTTTTTAACTAATTGGCTTCATTTATCTTGTCTATGTCTTGTCTTTTTCTCTGAGTTAATCTAGTATTTCTTGGGTGTTTTATAGTTGACTCTGCGTAGATAATCAACCTTTACACAATTATTTGTTTCTGGCACGAACTGCTTTTATACAACACATACACTCTTCAGTTGGCATTATTACACCAATATGCCGCCTCCAGCACATACGGACAGTATACACGTATAATGTCGGCATGGCTATACATACGACGCTAGACTCAATGAACGTTAACCAACCCATCAGATACAAGAAAAAAACATTTTGACACCTCAGCCAAATATACATATAAGCGTGATATCAATAAAACATAATGGAATGGTGTCATGTAACATATCAGTCAGTTGGCTTCCTTGACGAAGACAGAAATAAACAATCTTAGGATAATTATGTATTGCTACCTCGGGGTTTCCTGAAGACCTTTTGTTGTTCCGTATAATGCCAAATGTGGGCTTCTCGTACAATATTTGACGAACCAGAACAAATCAACGCCATCAAAAGAAAAGCGTGGGCGGCGCACACAATGTTTCCATGCTCAATATAGAAATAATTGCTTGCGGTTAAAACGTGAGGCATCTTCTACTAATTATATTTACCACACACATATAACATAATTATATTCCCACAGTGAATCCTAATTTGCTCAGTACAAACAAGATATCAACAGTTATCTAGCTGGGCAATATTAAATATCACATATTTAAAATCACAATATTCCATTGTTACATTCATTAAATAAATAAGAAAGTGATGACATAATACAAATACAGTTAGGTAAATTGATATCTCCCTAGCCTTATTTGGTAGATATATCGACAAATAATACAACTGATACGATAGAATGCAAGTTGCAATGTAACACATATATATTACAATGGGTTTTGGTGGGTGGAAATGCAAGTTTTAATTCCCCCACGAGCACCGCAGCAAGCACGAGGTTTGGTGCCATCTTATACAATTAGCATGGGGACATCACTTCAATAGCGTAACCGCTGTTAGGTTAGGCGACAGTATATATATATATTCCGTCTTTGCGTAATGCGGGGTTATCTTCTCTTGGGAGCAGGTATTGATTGTTACGTCATTGGTTTGTGTGAGAAAAGTATGTCGTTTTCTCAAAAATTGATGACGTTACTCTCTTAAACAAGTGACGTAACAATCAATACCTGTTATCAAGGGAAGATAACTCTGCAATATGCAAAGACGGAATGTGTGCGTGTGTGTGTATGCAAAATGTAATTTATTACTAACTCACCACCAACAAACTGTAACGGAAAAACTAAAACCTGAACGGGACGTCATGAGATTTTCGCGGTCTCGATAAGTTAAAGATTTAATTGCGTGCTACTCGGGTTCCTTGTATGTAATGCTGAATGGTGAATATCTGACAACTACAAGGTACCATATATCCAACCCCCTCACTTCGTCTAACCTTATCCCAGAACGCTTAATGAGAGATCAGCCATACATAACGGAATCATTATTCGGTATTGCTCTTTTGTGTCTTTTAATGAAGTCCTGTACTTTGCCTGAGGTACATCCGTTTTGTATGAAACAGTAATTAAGACTGTCTGGGTGCTTTTGTCAGCCTCTCTGCTTTATATGCACATCTGTTGAGGACAGTGTTTTGCTTCCGGCAGACCTCGGATAGCGGGGAACATTTTAAGTAGATCCGGTCATGGTATTTCTCCTGATAAGATTCGGGTACATTGTTTGTTTATGCAAAATATGTATTTTACCAAGCTTGTGTACCGGCTGCAGCTCATAATTTGGTGAAACAAACATTGCTCAATTTTTTAAGATGATTTATTTAATGAATAATTGAAGAGAGAACAACTAAGTCCTTTCTATCAAATCTTTTACTTTAAAATATAAACAAATATACATTTTCCGTATGGCTTACCTATGAAAAGAAAGTCGGATGAATTCCGTTTTATTTTACCCGCTGGTATTGTTGTTGAGAAATCCTTTATCTGTGATATATTACTCAAATTTCTTCAATAACGATATTAAGCTCATTGCAATCCACGTATGTATCAGTTTATTAGTAAAAGCAACGATACCATATTATTAGGTAATGATAAGACTCCTGATATCTACCAGCAGTCTGAGTTAATATGCTAGCACATGATGAAAATATTAACAGTTCTTACCAATAAGGGTGCTAAGGTTAATTTAAAAACCGTCAATGCCGCTTTGTTGCTTATATAAATACTTTTAAATGTTGCTGTTGTAATGAAATTTTAAGCTTGTGATACGGGTGGCATTTTTTATTCAAAACGTTCAAAGATCGTTTATTATTTTCCTTTTCAGGAGGTAAAAGTGGCGGTACGTACAAAGGAGGTATTCCGCCGTTTAATATGAAGCCACCACAGACCAACAGTTACAATGAGAAGGAGACTAGGAGTGGGCCTCAGCTGGAAACGGCCAGCAATGACACGCTCATAGTAAGTATATATACCAGTATATCACTATGGCATACGGTCATGTCATAAATATTGTATTACACACGTGTTAAAAAAACTAAAGGTGCTGCGATTTGTCAAAAACGTTGAAACATATTCCTTCGCCACAATGGGTACTATATGTACTCTAATTTACTTTACCAAAATAATTTGAAATGTTGATTTTGTCATTATTTTCATTGCATTGAAAAATGTTCATTCTTAAAACAAAAATCGGAACTACTATGGACTGCGCAGAACGTTAATACGATGATCGGAGGATTTTAGTTTTGACCTTTATGAGTTGAAAACACAACTTTGTCAATGTTATATGATAAATAGGATATTACATGATTGTCCGTATCATATTGAATTTATTAAATGAGTTTAATGATTTGATATGACACAAGCCTATAACAAATTATTGAACTAAATAATAAATTCAATATGACATAAACACTCAAGTAAGAACCTCCTTGTCTTGAACCAAAAGCACTCTTAAGTTTATCCGAGGAGTAACCTTTAGTCTACCATTCAGAATCAGCGATATTTACCAATTTTCCCTGTGATTCGAGCTTCCCCACGAAACCAATGATTGGAAATTCTAACAGTAATCGTACTGTTATCAGTTTTCATATTCCGTTGTAGTTCCGAATGACAGTTTTCTTAGAAACCGTATGCAAGCAGCATTTTCAAAGCATAGATACGGAACATAATACATATTAATGGTTGTAATTATCCTGGAAATGGTGATTTCAAAAGTCAATAATGCCGAGGAAATATATATCGAAATCACAATTAACAACTTTTAATCATTCTATGCCAAGATTTATTTAAATAACTCATTTAAACCTATCAACGATCGATGCCAATACCTTACAGAGATGAAAGTTGCGTGACGAAAGACAACTTCGGGTTGTGGTTTCAATACTTCATGATGACTAGATGGTCGCTAGCTCCAATTAGTCATCGTTTATAACCGCGATAAGTCTTATTTGCTCCAAACATTTGTTTATTTGTTCTTAACACGCCTGTATAACAAACGGTTGCTTGTGCGTTCAGAAACAACATTACGTCATCTTAAGATTGTTTGTATCATTTCTTTATTCTTTTCTACAGATTTACATTGGAACGGGTTCTGCGTTGCTAGCGGTGTCTGTTCTTGTTGTTATCGTTGTATTTATCATACGTAACTTCCGGCGGAAATTGGCTCGACAGACAACGGAAACTCAGTTCGCATCTAATGGATCGCGCCGTCCCCTGCTGCAGACAACTAATCAGAGCTACCAACACACACGGGTGGTTGCACAGGAGTCTATGCCAATTCGTGCACATACTGTAGTAGAAAATCCTCATTACGCCCAAAAGAACGTGAGGCTCAAAAACGAATCATGTACGTACATATCAACACAAAACCATGTCGTCCAAGTTTTTTTTTATATAGATTAAAGGTTAACGCTAAAAAGCAATGTTCAAAAAACTGTTAATTATGGTATTAACTTTTTTACAGTGGGTTTGACACTTAGAATTTGTGAATCTTTGGATATTTAAAATATAGTTTCACGATTGTTTTGTGACGAATGTTGTAAAAAATATAACGTTTTCTCATTATTTTTCAAAAAGTATTGAAATTTATTTAGGTTTTAAATGCAGAAAGGACAATCAAAATGCTTTAGAAGAGTACAGTTTTGTGACTTATGACGGATTCAACATTGTTAAGTCCATAGCATTTCTTTATGGAGTTTAGTAATCGTGATTCAAAGATACACATCAGCCAGAAAAGTTATCAGAGGTAAAAATACTGAGTACAAAATATGTCATTAAATGTTGACGTTGTTTGTAAATATGCAGTTGACGGTTGAATATTCTAAAGATTTTTTTTCTGTTTGTATGTATAAGAAACGAGAGTAGCATAGTGATGCAAATGTACTGATTTTGTTTCATTCTTTTTTTTCAGCCATTCGACATATACGCCTTGATAATTTAACGTTTCTACATGAACTTGGTGAGGGCGCATTCGGACGAGTGTTTCTTGGTACCTGTCTCAATCTGACCGCAGACGCCGAAGTGACCACGGTAGCTATTAAGACACTCAAAGATACGTCAGTTGAGGATTGCAAGGCCAACTTTGACCGCGAGGCAGAGTTGCTGACTAACATTTTACACGAAAATATCGTCATGTTTTACGGTGTTTGCTGCGAGCGAGATAATTTCATGATGATATTTGAGTACATGGAAAATGGAGATTTAAACAATTACCTCAGGTAAGTGAAAGGGCTTAACTGTAATTGGAAAAACTACTGCTGTATAAATGCAAAAAATTCAATGCGCGGTATGGCTATGCACGAACTTAGTCTTGTCAATATGGCGCTTGTCAAATAACACAATAGCAACATTTGAATCAATCACTTTAATGACCTCGACTATTACGTAAATGTTGTTTTATTAACAATACGCATAAAGCCCGTAATTATCAGGAAACACATTTATTCTCTGACGACTAACCACTTTGCGTTTGAAGAATAAAAACAAGCGATTAAATGAAGATTGTTTGTCTTACAAACATTAAATATAATACATTTACCATGCTAGCTAATATGTATGGAAACATGTTCGTTTTTTACCGCAACAAGATATAACTGTAAAGAGTGGCTTCAAATAAGTAGTTTTCTATAGCTTTTAAAGTAGGAACAATCGCGTATTTTTTCACATTGTCATTGGCTTTGATATCATGTGGTTTTAATGTGACTTGTATGGGTTATTTTGATTTATTTGCAGGAGTCACGGACCAGACGCAAAATTAATGTCAAAGCGAGCTGGCAGTATAGACACCTTGTCCAAAACAGAACTACTTCACATATCTAACCAAATAGCCACTGGAATGGAATATCTAGCGTCACAACACTTTGTACACCGAGACCTAGCCACTCGAAACTGTCTGGTTGGCGACAAACTTGTTGTTAAAATAGGAGACTTCGGAATGTCTCGGGACGTATACAGTACAGATTATTACAGGGTTAGTTTTAAAAATAGTAATGGACTATTCTTATGTATTAATGCAGAGAAGCCTTACTTCGTAAGTCATACAGTTGTCAATGAGGTTTATTTACCTATAAACTACTAATCGTTTTACATTCCCTAATGTACAAAATAAGGTCATACATGGTTGTATAAGATATGTTTGTGCAAAACAATATTTTGAAAGTAATGTCACGTGCTTGCGAAAACCTTTGTTTTGGTTCTAAAAGTTCGAAATAAAGAAAAATATTAATTAAAACAAACCTATTTGACGTATTTTATATCAAATTAATGATGCATATGATAATTCGAGGTTCTTACATACCGCTTTATCACTTATAGGTCGTCTCAAAGAGGTTCACAAATTATTATTCGTGTTTATAGGACCTTTGCACACAATATCTTTCTCAATTCCTTCGGGAGCATACAGCCGGTGCTGCCATTTCGGCGCTCATAGCTAGAATTTAACCATTCTAGCACTGCCCAGTGTACCACGTCCTTATTTAGAGCCGAGTCGACTGAAACAAGCGAAGAAAAGTGTCTTGCTCAAATACACAACACAGTGCCGTACCATGACTTGAACGAATGACCCTTCGGTCACGAGCCTGGCGTCCTACCACTAGACTACAGTGCTTTCTAATTGATGAATATATGCGATGCAAGATACATATTCGTACACGTCGAACACAAATACGAACAGAGCAATTTGCTCATGAGAGCTTTTTATTGTTATCATTCCTTATTATCCAAATTTGTTACTTCAGATACTTTTAACCTGTAATACTATTGCTCTTTCCCTGCCACAGTCCCCGACATATGATGTCTCCATAGAAATCTTCTTCATGGCGGGTAAACGGCTTGTATCATAATTCGTTCAATTACACTGTGATTTCTTTTAATCAATGTTTGATTTCCCAATCAATGGCAGGTTGGCGGTTCAGCTATGCTGCCAGTCCGGTGGATGCCTCCAGAATCTTTACTGTACAGAACGTTTACTGTGGAGTCAGACGTCTGGAGTTTTGGTGTTGTATTATGGGAAATATTTACATATGGGAGACAACCCTGGTATGAACTCTCCAATCATGAGGTAAGAAAGCATGGCTATACTCTTTGCTAGTAACTATATGTATCAAAGACATAGTCTTTGGAATGTAACAATATATACTAGTGAACAAGACATATATACTTCTTTATTGTTTCACATGTCTGATATTTCGAAATATTTAGATGACCTCACATTGCCCACACACCTATTATCATTATTATTATTTAAAAAACCCAGCAAAAACCATAACATGAAAAGAAACGTTTTCCATGTCCTTCTGTGAGTGGAACAATCTTAACTCTCTTTTTTTTTCTTTCTCCGTTGTGGAGTCAAAATATGATCGGGCTGTTTTTGACGTCATTTTATTCTTGTATGTCGTCTAAAATGTCAGACGATATCAATTCGTACGCAACGTATATGACATGGCCTATGTCAAACGCTTGTTTCGATGCTTAGTGTTAACAATACATGACTTAAACAGTTCTTACATTCTTTACGTCTTACTTGTTTCACAGGTTATCCGCCATATTACCGACGGGTGCCTGCTAGAGTGCCCTAGCTTGTGTACAGATGAAGTATACTCCATCATGCAGGGATGTTGGGAGCGCCAACCTCACGATCGCATGTGTATAAAATACATTAAAAATAGACTTGACAAGCTATGTATAAGTCAGCCAACATACCTCGACTTAATAGCTTGATAAGAATAAACGAGAAAGCAGGAGGGGAGTTTACAGGAAGGATGTGGAATAAGACATGGAACAATAGGACCTATGGTATTTTGGAAGAGTGACATTTTGATGGACAACCTTCCCATTATTGCCTGTGGACTAAGATATAGTGGACCTCGTTTATATTGTTTTTGATAACCTGGACAAATCATACACCCTAATCAATCAATTTTTGTTGTTATTTACATGCTATTAAATGTGCATGGACCAAACTGCAGAATAAGCATAGCAAAAATAGATTAAACATTTGCGTACATGGCAAGCAAGCTTTACTTACTTAATGGTTAGGTCAGGTTCCAGCCAAAATATCTGGTCAAAGAAGATAATAATATAACAGACTTGTTAATCGGTTTATTTTGGTTTGTTTCTTCTTTTCGAAAAAATGTTTTGATTTAAAAGTAAATTGTAACTGTCATACTAAGGAACCAGATAACTCCTTGTGACACTTTGATTCTATCACTTCTTTATATAATTTCCTGTCTATTTTAGGAACTCCAGCTAGTATCCAGACTAACGAGGTTCAAACAGTTTAGTATTTAATATAATGGCTAGCATAATGATGATAGAAAAGTAATTGTGAAGAAGTGTTATTGCATCATTTGATTCATTCAGTTATTTAATTTGAATCATTCGTATGTAAAAAAAACCTTTTAAAAATAATAATGACGGATAAGTTATTGTGAGGAAAGGCTATTACATAGTTTGATTCATTCAATTATTAGTAAGTTTTTAAAAATAATGTTGATGGGAAAAATATGAGGAAGTGAAATTAAACGATTTGAATTATAAAGATATTAAGTTTTAAAGAGTAATGCTGACGGATAAGGTATTGTGATGAAGTGTTATTCCATTATCCCACGTTTGAAAGATCCAAGCCTTTATGAGACAGTATAAGTATTTATTACATACTTACTAATAAATACGGGTTTTTTGTATATGCGATACGACACAATTGCTCTAACCCATATCAGCCCTCGCCGTATCACACCCCAAAACCCGTATCAGCCCCCGCCGTATCACACCCAAAATCCCGTATCAGCCCGCAAAACCCATATCACACCCCTTTTGGAAAATAAATCGTTTTTCAATATTTCAAAAATAAAAAATAAATCATAAGACAGTAGTTTTTATTAGTAAGTATGTAATAAACAGAATAAAACACGCCTTTTTCCATATCACACCCAGAATCAATCCTCGACCAATATCAATTAATGAGCTGAAACATATTGTAATATATTAAAATTCGAGTCAAGAGTCGTTTATTTGTTTCTGAGGTCAGACTTCTGATAAAATTATAAAGCCTAGCTAGATAGAACGTTCGCACTCTGAAAACCCGTTCATGCTCTGGAAATGATTTCAGAAGTAAATATTGGTTCATGTCCTGATCATTCGCTCGTTTGTGTGTCGACCTCACGTCATCACTCAGAAGTGCAGCACCGTCAAATCTCGTTATTTTGTCGAATGCTATGTATTTTAAAGGAATGTATTATTTGTTCAAATGGCAGATTATGCGCTTGTCTTCTGACTCTGCTATCTCAAATGTCTGTATCATTTCGAATATTGTTTCAATTGTGATATTGCTTTGACATAACGAAGTACGACATTGTTGTTTGAAGCAAAAGTTTTGTTTTCAAAATAAATACCAATATTCAGACTTAAATGACCTGTCGTGCTGACATTCTTGTGGAATATTCATATCAATCAGACTTTTGCATTGGCCTTTATGCATGCCCACTTGCTTATTCAATACCTTTACGTGTAATAATTGCATTGATTGTATTATCATGTCCTTCTCATTATAGACCTTTATGTAGAATATTCAGATCGGGTGGTTGCAACGATTTTGTATGTTAAGCTGCGCAATGTTTTTGATGGAGTAGAGTAGAATTGTCAAGCCAATGAACGCCACGGCTATAGCGCCTATAGCGCCTATAGCATGGGTGACCCCTTTCTTTGAATGATATATCTGCAAGTATAACCATCTGATATGAATTTTGTAACCGGAGTTCAACGCGATAGCTTATCATGGTCTGAATACACTGTAGCACGGTAAGATATTTTAGCCTGATGTAAGTGACGATTGGTCTCCATATATAATGGACATTATTAGAGCATGTCACCAATTGGGCAAATTAAGATGATGTATGTTTTGTCGACAGTCAGTTTTTTTTTCTCTCTGTTGAAGTTGTATGCCTTACGCAAATTGTATATGACAGAATTTTAATGTAAGGTGTAAAAATATTAACTAATCGCGTTATACGCATTGGCGGAAAATTTGAATGTTATACCAAAGATAAATGGCGAGTAAATAGCGATATCATGATGAATTTTATGTCAGAGAATAACAGTGTATATGGAACACAATAAATGAATTGTTAATTTATTTTGAAGTGATAAGAAATGATATGAGACGTCTTGTAGATAATATGGACTGCAGTCACCCGCCTAAAATGATGATAATGAAGGTGAGGATATATGTCGATGGATTTTAATATTTTTGTAAATTAGAAAAAATTCGTTTGATGTGGGAATCTTACCAATTATGACGTAAGTGTTCAAAGCGTCAAAAAATTGTACATAGAATGCCATCCAATCATAAAGAGTATGAGATGATTAGACGGCAACACGAAGGACCGCACGCTGCGACATATTCTTTCATTGTTTATTGTTTTCTTTCAATGTAATGGACGCAGATCTTGGTAGTGAGATTACACAGGTGTGTGTGGTTGACGTATTGTTATGTTATTGTGATAAAGTGGAAGTTTATATTCAAATATTTTGTGGTGATTTTGTTATTCGTCATATATCATAGTAATAATACATAGTTCAGTGGAGGGAGAGCCGAGAAATAGATGTATTTAGAATGCATTTATTCTACAACAAAATTGATAACTGTTCACACAAACACGCACGCACAAAAATCATAACAAAATCGACCAACGTGATAAGAACGGAGTTGGGGAACGCACCAATATCCGGTAAATCTTTGAGATATAATCAACATGCGGTTTATGAAAGATACAAGAATCAAATATGACCGATAAACAACATTCAGTAATGTTCAAAAGTCCGTGTAGTTACCCATGCTTCGATATATGGTTCAATAGTTGACCGGCAGTTTGCTCAGTGGAAAGGTATACAACAGCTTTCAGGATCTCGTACCCAAAAGTCATCAAGCTGGCATGCCTGTCATCAAGGATAGTTAAATCACAGCATTTTGTCATCTGCGGATTCGTTAGATATTTGAATAACAGAACAGGAGGTGGTTTGTCAAATGAAAAACTAAAATAATATAAAGCTTCGTTTCCAAATCGTCAGCGGGGCGTACCTGCAGTTTACGACGCAAAATGAAGGCGCATCTGCATATCACAAAGAAACAAAAGCGCCATCTGTTACCCTAATTTCTTCATATTCACAGAGACATGCTGATTGACATTGATTCTGCGTGAGAGGAGTTACCAAACACATAAAAATGGCATTTTTGGGTTCTAAATGAGTATGGAACGGTCCATTCTGTCAAATTTTGAGTGCGTCTTAGAGATCAGGGGTTGTTAATGTCCTGGTCTTATGAGACTATTGGGAAAAACGGTGAATAAAGAAATGAAGACTAAATCTTTGAAAATAGCAGATAACTTTTTTCTCTCTTTAAAATTCTAAATATATTTTCCGTTGACCCGAAGGCCATGTGTCTGAAGCGTTTGCACATCATTTTGGTGCTAGCAGCAACCCATATACTTTCAAAATCCAATATTTGATGCGTGTGACCCTTGTGATGAAACCTCTGACGTTTTAATGTAGGACCCATCCGTCAATGGACATCGACATCGAATGACTTTAGCTCTTACCAAGAGGGAAATAAGTAAAAACAAAAGGGCAAATAGTATTTCAGCGTGTATTCAGAAGATATTACACGATAAGTAAAGATTAAAATATCAATCAAAGACATCTACGAAAATTCTAAAGTATCCGCGTTTAGACCGTATGCCTCTTTGTTCGGGTCACAATATCACTTATTTAAGTGTTCCGGAAATATACATATACTATAAAATATAACTTGAAAAGTCTATAGTATCATCCTCATTAACAGGCGGGACGTACGTCCTTCCTTCTACAGCGTTGTGGAAGTAAGTCTGGAACACTTTTTGAGTCATAACTGGTGCCTCGCCGCCTGTGAGATTTACATTAGGGGCCGTTTGTTGTGTTTCGGGTTGGCGGTCTGAAATAATACATTATTGCAAAAAAAATTGAGTGAAAGCTCACAAAGGCTACTGATTCACTATTTATCTTACCGATCCACTATTTACCTAGAAAGTACAGTTGTCTAGATAGGATGCTCTGCAGTTTTAAAATATATGTTCGGACAAGCACTAGAGAAATTTTACATTTGACCCCTTGCAATGACCTATACCTTTAAGTATAGACCAAATATTCGGAATAGGATTCATTAGTTTTTTATGAATAACAAAGGCTAAGTTTGTTTTGAGCACAAGTAGAAATTGAAAACTTATTTTGCAAGCTTTCGAAAACGCCTGTTTCCTTTGTCAAGCAAAAATGTAAATGACCGGTGTCTCGACTCTAACTAAACCCCTGAAAACAACTGACTAAGTCACACTGTGCCGTATCAGTAAAGTCAGCTGTCAAAGATCACCTGAAGACATTTCGCCCATTGCACTCTTATACTGCAGGCAGTCAGGGGGACGGGAAAACATGTTTACCCTTTCCGTCCCTTAGCAGATGTTAAAATGGGGTCATAAAGATGACTCAGCTGGTGGCCCCCTTCGTATCTGATCATCGAATTTCCTTCCCTCCTAACCCTGATAGATTCTTAGACTTTCCTTACATTCCACTTGCCTCCCTTTCAAAGAATCAATCTGGGCTAGGAGGAAAGGGGATTCGATTAACAGAGATGAAGAAGGCCACCAGAGGAGTCATCCAAATGAATTAATATGAGCAGAATAACCACTAAAATGCGAAGAAAGAAAGGAATGGTTTCAAAATCTTGTTTGTAGATGAACAAAAGCAAAACAAATTAAACAAGTCATCACATGGCCATTTAGAATGGACAATCCATGCGTAAAGTGTTCCCTATCATATGTAGAATAGATCGAAACGGTACAGGTGCCTTAAACACCCTTAATAACGTTAAAAAACATACTTAAATTACATGTAGTGATAATCCAACAGCAGGGTCAACCACCTCGTTGCGAAAAATAACCATTAGAAATACAAAAAATAGAAACATCATTTAAAAATCTTTGGTTGATGCAGAAACCCAACAAGCACCATAAAAACTACATTCGAACGTGAAATGATTGTCAACTTTAAATACAAATATTGTCACATATCATGTATATTTGTTTTACAGTATTCAACATATTGGGATGATTATATTTCTGTTAACTGTTGCCTTTGTTCACTGATCCGGATAATTTGCTCACTCCCAGCTCAGTTTAGCTGTTACTTACAGATATTACAAAACACGCGACATTCGTATCATACAGGTATATGTATTATATAGATTTGTAATTATCTCTATTATTGCAAAAATCCCCACGTTCAGTGTGTGCTAGATTTTGTTGACAATTTTGACACTTTTTACACCAGAAAATAAAATCCTAGTGACAGATTAATCTTTCGGAATTCTCAGTATTTTCCCTGCTGTTGAAGTACGGAGCTTCATCATCAACGTGAAAAGTTAATTCTCTGAATGAACACTTGAAATATTATTTTTAGACCGCATAGAATCACCAACATATTACAATAATGACAGTATCAGTAATATAATGACCTGCATAGTTCAATAAATGAGCATCTAAAAACAGAAATCTAATTGATGCAAATGTCGTCAATCATTGACTTATCGTGAATTGGTGGATCCACCATTGCACTGCTTGTTATAGAATTCTCGTTAAACTTTTGAATCAAATGAAGTTTAGAATAATCAAACTCCAAACCGTTTTCAACGAAATAACAGCAAAGACATTTAGTAAAGGAGGTCAACGATATTTTGGCAAAGAAGTATGGCAAGTAGGCATTTGTCAAGTGTATGCCAGCTTACGATACCTATAACTTGTATAGATTGTATTACTTTTACTATTTAACTTTGACACGAATCAATGCATACTTCGGTTCTGTTGCTTCCTTCGCCCAAATATTCCTTTCCTGTCCGACCTCTTTTCGGGTGCTGGTTTTGACCCTTCCTCGTCTAGTGTGGGCAGAGCTCCCGGAGTACTAGTGTCAGATTTGGTGCGTCCTTTCTATTAAAACAAATTCATTGGACAACATTTCTACAATTCGTTTAATGGTTTCATTTAAAACGAATATATTCAACTTATATTTTTTGTGAACATTTATGAAATCAAAGAAAATACAATCTGATCTTCTTAAACTTGATAGGAATTATACTTGTTAATGCGTGATTGGGTCGATTATGAATAATCCACAATGCAACGGGATAGGAGTTATCTAAACGGAAACTGTGGACAAAGATAATGTACATGTACATTTTGTATGTCAGAAACTGGTACATGTAACTCGACGAAGAGAGCCTAAGAAGGTTATCAATATACAGCACGATATTGACATTTCCTCTATTTAAGATTTATCCACTGTACTAAATGACAAAAGAATCTGAAATGTTCCGAAAGTCAAAAATTCGTAAAAAGAGAAATATCTGACAGCAAACCTAAAGTGAACCAGAAAACAAAGAGCTTTCGGTAAATATCGAACAAACTTAAAAAGAAACTATGGACCCCTACTGAGCTCATTTTCCTAGAAGATTGCGTAATAACGCGAAACCGTCGTGGAATAACGCCAAAAACCATCATTGATCCTCTTTTGCCTGACGTGACTCCCTGAATGAACTCCCAAAAATCTTCATTCTTGTCATTCATCTTAAACTGAACTGACAATTAAACGTGTTGCGTCGCTTTTGTAAGAAGCTTTGTGTTATATCGCGAAGGTTTTGAGTTATATCGCGATTTTTTTTTAATCTTCTGCGAAAATGACCTCAATAGGCTTTCGTAGAAAAACAACTTTTGAACTCCATAACATGTACTTTTTTAGCTACATATACAGATGTAAATGTAGAAATCAATTTGTCAATCACGGACTGGTACGTATTCCTGCCTAGTTAGCAGTATTGGACATTCAACTGTCTATGTCAGTTAATGTACATGCACCTACCCACGAGAAGATATCCCTGAGTCGCTGCATGGAGTTCGTACGGCTGACCCCGCTATGACTCGCTGCTCTGGGCAGGGCAAATCCTCCCGTGTTCTCCTGGACTGAAATAACATTTACAAAAAGAAAAGATGAATTAGACATTCATCACCCGTTCCGCCATAATGATACGTGTAAGCAGGTAGACAACATAGGTTCGACAGTTGACAGAAACCGTCTCCAAACCTAAAGACGAAAACATGATCTGGACAACACATCGTCTGTTCTCGAAACCAACTAACAGGATACAGGAAATTAAGTAGCTCATCACTTCAATGGCATTTCTTACCGGTCGAAAGCTGGAATATAGCTCCCCTGCCATAATATTAATGCTTTGGTGGAAACAACGCGTTAGGGAAACTTTATTTCTTATTTGTTGACTATTTCAATTCAAATGTGCATGGATTGGATAAGGAATCTTGGATTCTGAATGTGAAATAACCGTACATTCCTATCACATTATTTCATATTAGTTAAGGTACTGTTTATTGCAATCATTTCTGGTATTATATAGTTATACTATGTCGATTATCATACAGTTGAAATACTGGCATGAGGTATATAGAATGTTCTATTTGCCTACATGTAGGACCGTATTCATAAAACCGTTCTCTTGCACAATCCCAGATTCTGTCCTAATATCCATGGGTCAATCTCTTGCTACTGTGACGAACTAATAAAACTATTAATGATTCGGAAAATCTTCAGGTGAGACTAAACGCCAAATACCGTTTTCAGTGTTTACACTTGCCTTTTTGACCATGTCACACGATTTAAACGAAGGGCAAGAATTTTGACTTTTGCACAGAATCCATACTTTAGCATGAGAAGAGTTTTATGAAAACAGTCCATGGTCTAGGGGAACCAGTAACCTGCCGCATCCGAATATTATACCGATCGATACAAAACACACGAATATTGAAAAAATCAACAACAACAATATTCCAACCGAAATTTCAAAACAAAACCTATCTAGAGTCATGTCTAATGTTTTAATATCAATGGTGCCGTCTTCTCAAGATCAATAACAACTGGGTGAGGTCAGATCAGCACAAGCTCCGCCAATATCGACTGGCTCGGTCTCTTTATAGTAAGCAAGTCCTTCAGAGTTTTTTTTTAATAACACACGACTAATTATCTGGATAACGAATTCAATGCAAAAACAGGCCTATAGCAAAATCAAAAAACAAAACAAAAATAAAATAAAGACCATATTGATTTTTGAAATATATGAATGTTTGATAATGGATATTCCCCTTTTCTATTTTTTAACAACTTAGCATTAGCCCTGGGAATAATGTCCGGTCAGAGAAAACTATCAGTAGAGCTTAAAAGAACATAAAACATAGCATCTGTCCCTTGGAACTGGGAACAACGAAGTGTATATCCGGAACAACGAAGTGTATATTGGCCTCGGCAATACAACACTTGCGCGTTAATAGGTTATTCCAAATAGCGAGATACAAATATAACATCAGGATTGAACGGCATTTTTTCAATTTCATGTTGGTATGAACGCATAATCGGTTATATACATATTCATTAATTAGCGGGCGGGCTTCATGCATGGTAAATATGCATGTAACTGATTTGCGTTCATACCGGCATGAACATTGAAAAAAATACGTTCAATCCTTATATTGACATTCTATTTTTATTATTATTATTGACCTTAGTACCAATATTCCCTTATATTTCCGATATTGAAGTATTTATGTTAGTGCAAACGAGATTTTTTTAACAGTCTGTCGTCATCAAAATGTTTGCTTTCTAGCTTGTCTAATGTTATTCGAGGCAGGGAGGGGGGAATTAAAATGACGCTGATCCAATTGCGTTCATAGCCCTACATAGAGGAACTCGCAGTGGAAATGTAAATAAAAATCATGACTTTTTGTTATGCTAACTTTACCATTCAGTCCGAAGTGCCGAAGGGAAACCTTGCGTTCAATATCAACAGATATAGTGACTTCTTCCTCCTCTAATGCCACCCTTGCTAAGTGGTCAGATGCAGTCAGTTCGGACATGTCTAATTGTAAAGAGGTTATGATGATTTCCCCCTCATCATCTTCATCCTCCCCCTCAGAGTCCAACAAGGGGTGCCTCCTACCCATAGACTCGGGATCTGTTGGTCGCGACACGTCCGTGTTGGCACTGATGTCGTGGGCTGACACGGGCTGACCGAATTCCTTCATTAAAATTTAAAAAAAAACACATGGGTATACACTATATTATTTATATAAGCTTGACGACACTGGAAAGGAGTTTAATAATAGTGAGATACATATATATACATAGATGGAAAAACACCTTGTTCAAACAAAAACTGAAATGATATTATTTACTAATTTCGTAGTTTTCCCCAATTTTTATATCAACATTAAGTGAAATGAGGAGACAAAACCGCATTTTTTGAAGTGATACAGACTTGGTGAATGGTTGGCGGTCAAATATAGTTTAGAAATAGATTGCCTGTATACAGTTTGGGGTGTCTGTGTTTGAATTCCGGTCTGGTCCAGCATATATAAATCTGGAAATCGAAATTCACTTACCTCTACATCTTGGAAAGCCATGAGAGAGACCTGCGAGAGGGCTTGTACTACAAAAGATTCCGATCTATGATCCTGCCAGGCGTTATAATTACCGTTCATCGATATAATCTAGGTTCTGTTCTGTGGCTGGAAAAAATGGTAAAAAATGGAACCGAAGCTATACTTTCAATGTTGCGTTATATATCATCATATAAAATTCATAAGTTCGGAAATATGTATTTATAAACAAATTGATTTATACACAAACATCATAATACTATAGCAATAAAGGATTTGTTCTTGTCTGTCTTTTCAAATCNCGTTAATTACAACTTATATTTGGAAGTTGGATACCGGTAGCATGATACATTGTAAATTGATTATCATTGGTTGTCAGTATGAGAAGAACTTGAGAACGACTTGAGAAGAACTTGAGAACAGATTTCCCCATTCCCCAGCACTTGGGAACGTATAAATTTTCTCAAAAACCGCGTGTGGACTCGAGATTTTATCTACGTGCGAGCGATGAGAAAATTGTTCGAACGACAAACACTGAAAATACTGTATGATAAACTTTTTATCATCTATATACTACTACCTTATATATTTCTCCATTTGAAAAACTCAACTAAACACCATGTTTTCCAAATGACTTCTAAGCTCAATGGTAACCGATCGCCTGTGACAACCGTAAACAAATAGAAGTTTTGCGTGGAGGAATTCAGTGAACCTTAAAACTACGTAGAATAAATATTTTTAAAACAATCCTATCATCATTGGCTTTTCCATATGCACATTTACACCTGAAATTGTGTTGTTATTCTCACAATATTTTCCGGTAACTTTATATTGATATGTTTACGACGTCCTATTTTCTTACGCGGATCCTTTTTGTGTTGACACTATATTTCTGTTTTCGGACGTCATCTGGCGCGAGCAGACGTTCTTTTTTGAGAAAAATACGTTCCCAAGTGCTTTGGAATGGGAACATAAGCGGTGTGGCTGGGATATAAAACTTGTGTAGGCACTTGAACAATTGACTGGTAAATTAGTATTTTTTTAGTTTAATGACAACAATTTTAAAGCTCGAATAAAATCATAAAATAGAAATATAGTAGGGTAAACACGAATTGTTATCCAAGCATCTATATACTAAACATTTTAGTGAGGGAAGATGGTTCTAAAACAAAGAGAAGGCTCAACAAATCCAAAGTGAGTTGTGAACTCAAAATTGAAAAAGCAAGAACAAAACATGAATGGAGATGGAGACTTTTAAAACTGAATACAATAGGAATATGATCAAATATTCCAGGCTTCATCGACGACACACGGCATGTCAATCTTGGTCAAATCCAAGTGTTGTTACGACCTCAAAGTTAGAACTTGGATTGTGACATCAAAACCACTCTAATGAACATAATAAAAATAATCACCTCCGTGTCACACAAAGAAAAAAATATTTTCCTATTTGATCGCGATGGCGACCATAAAACAGGGAGATAAAATAAACAAAATATAATCAACACTGAAACGTGTTCTGAGTGTAAAATATTCTGCGGGGCAAGACCGAGATTCGAACCCTTTTATTTCAGATTGTTATACCATCGCTAAAACCAATTGAGCTACCTTGACAACGTGCGCTAGTTTTATCTAAACATAAGTTAAAGGGAGGTTATTAAATGTAGGAAAAAACGACAGTACAGTGGCACAGGGATTCTTAAATAACGGATACCATGCAATACATAATTAACATGGTAATAAATCCAGTTGAAGATTTCGCTGATCCAGCACACTATCGAATGAGGCGACTAATGTGCCCACTCAGTGTCGGTGGTTTTCTGCTGTCTTGGAGGATACCAACATTGATCTGGTGTCCCATTAGCGCACATGAGTAATTTATCCCTTTTTTCTCTCTATTAGCTAACCTTTCTTGTTCCATGCCGAAGCCACCCGGCACAGTATTCCGCCCGGTCACATTATACTGACAACGAGTAAACCCGGTTGTTTTGATTGCATTAATTGCTGAATGTTTAACCAGGAGAGCAACTACCATTTAAATGACATTTTTCTTTTTCCCTGTCTGGAGAAAGACCCCATTACCTCCTTCGTGTTGGCGAACGTTCAATGTCAAAGCCAGAAGCGATGGAAAACAGTGTACGAGAAAGTATATATAGCTAGAAACAGTACACGCTTACACAGTACCGTGTGTGAGATATATGATGCTTAATGTGCATTATGATACCCTAACTTATATCCCATATAATTGATTATCAATCTGCAAGTCCAGCAGATCATCTTTTTCTGGTAAGAAGGGAACTCGGGTCCGAATTATCTCACTTGACCAGCAGGGATCGATGCTGTTGTCTGGCGCGCTCGCTTAGATACGGTAATTAACGATGAAGGATAATTACAAATCAGTATGGTGCTGATAGGATGTAATATGGTTACGTGTTAATTTTGTAACCGGATGACGCGTTATTCACGACAGACTGGTCCGTAACGTACACGGGTGTGGAGGCCAGGAGAGGTGACTAGGGAAAACAGAGAAAGGGGAGGTAATTATTGTAGGGGGTCGGGAGTGGACATACTTCGTATTCATAACTTGGGATACAGGTATAGTAAAATCCGCTGTATTAAATCCCACATTCAACATACATGATCTCAGATCCAGTATGAAGAATATAAGAATGATTTCTAACATATTGTTTGTGAAAATCATTTTCATTCGTTTTCTGTGAGCGAAACGAATCTATCTGCTTTCCTGAAATGAATTTGGCTATTCAACTGATTGTAATTCGGCCGCAATCCGTTCTCAAGTTCTTCTCAAGTTGTTCTCAATTAAGTCGTTCTCAATTTTTTCTCATACTGACAACCAATGCTAATGAATTTATCATACTACCGGTAGGTGGTAAAAAGTAGTATATATAGATGATAATCCATAATTATCTCATTCATTATTTTCATACACAATTTTTACGCCAAATAGGGATGCATAGAAGAGTTTATGGAGAATTTACCGAGCAACAGTAATGAGACTAGCATCAACCCAATTGTCTCAACGTAATATATCTCATATCAGTAAATCGGGCAAGTTTGGATCAATTTTTCTGATACATACTTTTTTGATTTGGTTAATATTTTATTTTATTCTATCACAGATTAGTTAATTATAATATAACTTCTCAAACAGTTTTTTTCAATGCAGAGTTTACAATGTAAAGGGAAATAACTCGTGAAGATAGGTGGTTTCAAGCAACATTTTTTCTTTCATCTCTCTCCAGTATTTAAAAAACATGACAATAACTTGTAGCGTTGAATTCCAATAAAGTGTTTTTGGTAAGACAATCTTTACACCTTTGCATCCGACGTGTAAGTTACGGAGTGTCCAAACCGCAATTCAATATTTTTGAAATGTTGTTTGACATCTTATTTTGATAAAACTTAACATCCTGTTTGAGAGTGATCTAGTGTTTCGTCTGGTGATATTTATCCGTAGCTCAGTCGTTGAGATATCACTTTTCATCCCAGCATAAAAGTTGTAGCTTTGTGCTGAAATTTATTAATTATGGACTAGAAACGAAGCCAGGAAAATAATGACGTAACGCGAAAGACTTATAGCACATCATTGTATACATAAATAAGGTCACTCACGGTTACTTCGGTTACCCGACACTAGGTTTTTCTAGAAGTTGACCAGTTACAATCTTGATCTTCTACTATCTTACTTCCCATTTTTTAATATCAGACATCCAAACGACCAGACTTATCAAAGTATCATTAATTAAATATTTCAAAGACAGGTACCAGTCTAGTCCTTCCCTGTGTAATCTGCCTTCTAAAGGGGAAGCGGGGATGTTGTTCCAGCCTCCTTCACATCGACAAGTCAACTATATACGACCCCGCACAAACAGTGAACAGGGACCATTCAACTACAAAATAAACCCCACAATGTCGATACATAGCCTACATTTTTCCTGTGTACAACAGACAATTAAAACTTACCTCGTGTCTTTGGTGTTAGCCTACTTCTGCCATATTGTTGATTCCGGAAGATACTATGGAGATTTCGTGAACAACAATAGACTAAGATCTATGACGTCATACCGATTGTAGCCATGTTGTATTTGTTGCGCATTTACTAGAATGACGTCACACATCAAGGCACGTCATAATAGTATTTGCTGCATTGGCAACCCTCGAGTTGGCTTGTACATATAGAAGAAACAGTTTCTGTAAGGAAATTGGGTTGGATTCTAGTCAGTTAAGCTATAACCTGAGGATTTGACGTCGATGGTCGTATTTGATCTAGTTCTCTTAGGACATGAATGAAAACAAGCCTATCTGGTGTTTTGTCGACGGAAAAATACCAATCTTCATCGATAAATCAGAAGATGCCAAGTTTCCCATTCTAACGAACGGTCGAAGATACAAGAAAGATTCCAGAGAATGGCTTCATAAGACAAGTAAAAATCGAGGTAAAAACATGAAGCGGACCGTTGATAACAAAACAGAAACCATGGACGACCACAAGTCATACAGTGTCGAAAACGTCTATGATACTATGGACACTGGGAAGGAATCTGGCGGGTCGTCGCCGCCTTTAAATTCCTTCGGAAGCAATGCAGATATTGTGGTAAATCGAAATGGTATTCGTCTTTCGCCTTATCATTTTTTTGGCAATGAGGACAGAGAATTGGCTCCAAACCAGATCACCACACGCGGGTGTATGTCTAGATCTGAATCCTCAAGGCGCCTTCGGAAGAGAAGGTTGTCATGGTTAAAAACCGAGAAAAATGAAAATTGCTGTATAGAGGTCGCGGAGAGAAGCAGCCAACATGATATAAAGCTAGAGCATACCCGTTTCCGACCGATAGTAGACGCTGTAGGATTAGGAGCAAGCGAGCTGTTGGACCCGATGGCGGGAAAATCTCATGGAGATGTTCATGGTCATTCTCTAGAAATATCCACGAGCTTTTGGTTCGATTCGGTAAGTCAGCAAAACTTTTTACTGATTGTGTCAAATATTACTGAGACTCTTCAAGAATGTTCAAGGTAATCTATAAAAGAGATTTAACATCTAAAAAGTGAGTGTATATGTATAGATATATTTGCACTATCTTTAATTTTTCCAAAGAGAAAGCGGCCGACTGGTAACAAATTAAGCGTGTTTCAATATCTACATGTATAATCTTTTAAAATAGTTTTACACAAATTATGCAGGGATTTGATTGGCTATCATTTATTAGTATAGGAACATTGAAATGCGCCGCGAGAAGCTTCCCGAAGCTTCCTATTGGTGTCGACTACTATATCAACTATTTACCCGTAATGGCATGTGATGCATTACAAATCGTACTATACATGTATATAGTAATAGGTACTGATGTGTAACGCTCCTAACCGTATAAAGCACGGAATCTTTTACATGGTTTCAAATTTGAATATACTACTATAAGTTATATCAGCAACAGAGACTCAACTGTACTTGACGTATTTTTATTTCAACATTTCTGTTTTGATTTTTCGTGCGACCGGCTATGATATTATGTACGTGTATCGGTAGAAATAGGAATAAATAAGAACTACATCTGAATATACCCATTTTTCTATAATTTTCAAAGGAGGACAGCATTGATGACACTTGTTGGCGTGAGACGAGACAATCATTGTCCGACTCTTCTCTGGAGGACTTCGTTCCAGAACTGGAGGAAGGCGCTCGTCCGATCGACCCAACCCTTATAAGGTCTCCCGTCCCAAAGAAAAGGTAGGAAATTCGGACCAATATATGATATGCTCTAATGTACACGGAATTGAAAGAACTATTCCATTCATGAAGATAATATATTTACATATGTAATATGAAAGCAAGTAGTAAGTTTCCGCCGGGTAGTTTTTGATTTAGAATTCTACGTTAACCTTCAAGATTTTTCACTGTGTATGTCTAGACATACTTCAACACTATTTTATCAGACTGAAACTTTCCTTTTTTTTATGATTGATACGGACGGTCAATATTAATCATAGAACTAGATATTAATAAAAATCTTGAAAAAAATAGTGTATGCTTATATGCTACGCTACTGGAGTTTTTGAACCTTTGGCAAATGTGATTTGCTAGGTACGTCGACGACGTTTTATAACTTCAAAAGCTAACAACTCGTTTAATTTATTTGCAATACTATACTCTATCTAGCTTATCTAATAAAACTAATTTGTAAACTCGTAATTTATATTAAGCAATTTCCTATTATTCAGGGAGAGATTGACAATATCGGAAGATTTTGATCCCGAGTGCCAAAACAATACGGACCCCTCAGGACAACTGCTGGTCAGCCATTCCTTCCAAAGCTTGTGCAGTACCCCTCGCTGTTCTCCTTGGAACGAAACAGACTCCGAGCAGCATCTAAGTTTACAAAGCAACGTAAACTAATGTCACGAATTCAGTGTGAATCTAAGCGAACATTTTTTGAAAAAATACTTCATTTGGTGATAATTTCATTAAAATGACTTAATTCTATTATTTTTGTTGTACTTATTCATTCAAAATAAGCCGAAGTGCCCGAATTTTCTTTAAATAAGAAACACAGCTCTCTACCTCCAGATGAGATTATGAACCCAGTTCACACAAAGATCTACTCTCAGTAGGAACAGGTACCTTTTTGACACAATTCCATTTTCAAACGCATTGATGTCACTAATTTTGTACATTTCTTTGGAATATATGTATATATGTTTATGTCAAACACAAAGATTACCTTTTTTTAATCGTGGGGATCATTTAAAATCGATTGAATATATATTTTAGTAGAACTAGCGACGTAAACATTTTATGGCAAGCGACACCAACATCCTATACCCAGCCTCCCAATTAACCCCATTGAAAACCCTAGTTTTTGATATGCATTCGAAAAATCATTCCATGTATGTCCAAATTACTATGTAATTGTCTTGGTCATTTCTATATCTTACACACAACAGTAATTGCCTTTGTCTCTTGTCACAACCTTCATAATGGCATGCTATGTCTGCATGCTTACTGGATTGATGTCAAGGCGCTAGGTCTTTTAGTCACTTGAGAATTTTAACAAGTTGAAACCCAGTAATTTTCAGTAAATATGCAGGTCAGTTCTTACTACAATTTTTTAGCACACCCTGTCAGCAAGCTACTGTATTTGCCCAATACCATGGCTCAATGCCTTTCTGTTCTTCAGAAGACATTGGAATACAAATTCTACCTCTGTGACGTTTGTCAATGTGATTCTTGCATCAAAGCCTAAAAAATCCACATGTACTTTTATAAACAGATTACCAATACCTTTTATGGTAATTGCGATGTCAGCTATCCATTTTCATGCTTGTTGTGTGTTTGTAATGACCTTTACAATTTTCTGGAGTAGTAACAAAATAAGTTCAGCATTAAATAACAACTATCAAGCCAATCACAGCGCCAACTCTTAAGGGACTAACTCCTATTCTTTCTTAACCTGAATCCCTATCACCTAGGGATACTTCCTACCAATTTGACTAAAATCCATCCAGTAGTTCTTGACAAAAAGTTGCCAAACCAAGGTTGACAGATAGTAACTTGACTCACTTGACCTTGTTCCTTTGGACCAGGTATATAATTGGGCTTTCATCTAAGTGAAATAAGGTTCACCAAGATATACAAATTGATCATCTTGCTTCTTGTCCTGACTTGGTCCTGAGAGTGTTTTGCAACACATGTCTAACCACATGTACAAGCCTCATCTGTCAAAACCACCTAATAAACAAGTCCCTAGATGGTATTGAACATGACAAGGCAGGAGCTAGTGGCTAAACCATGACATACACACCTAGGTAGTTTCATGGGAATTTTGAAAGTGGACGATTAGTTATGTTTTGGAAAGCAAGATGAAGTGATGATTGATAAAAACATAACAATGATTTGACCTTTGATTCCTGCCAATAACCTTGACCTTTAAGGTACGGTCACTCACCATACTTTCTCTATTTTGATGATGCACATTTTATATAAAAAAAAATAACAGGAAAATGTGATAGCAGTCAGAAATGATAGTCCAGAAAATAATTACATTTTGTACAATGCTTTGACCTTTGACTCCTTGATGTGACCTTGACCTTATAATATTTTAAAACATGTAGATTTGTAATTACCATTTGAGTGTTCAGGATACACTATCTAGTCACGATATATCTATCTGTGATGTTCATATGGAAATGAAGGTCCAGTCCTTATGAGGATATGGTCAGAAGGTGTACAAACATACATGGATGGACAAACAAAGCGACATCTATACACCTCCTGTCCGTCACCTTCCTTTTTTCAACAACTTTAACAAGTTTAACAACTGTCAACAGCTGATGGACACTGCACCACCACACAAGTTTCACTTACGGTTTGGTTGTGTAAGCTGATAGATAAAACAACTGTAGTGCATACAATTTTATTAACAACAATGTCTGGGGTTATTGCATGTTAAGCCCTTTTACCCCAGGTCGAGGGGTGGAGATTAACATCAACTCATACACAAAGTAGGGGGTGGGCTTATTTCAAGACAAAACATTTGATAAAATAGCACTTGCCAGCATTTTAGGGCTGCAATGATATATATACCTAATGGTATGATGCTTATGATATGATATGTATCACAATTAATACACACATCAGCTCAAACGGTCAACTTCATAATGATCGAGAGCAGGGTTTTATGGAGATTTGCCTAGACTTCGTAGTAAATACTGTCAAAATATGTTTTTGTACGAGTTTTAGTACTTTTGGGTATGACTGCGCAGTGGACCACATCACAATTGAAGAATTCCAAAACAATAAGTAAACTCTTAAGGGTTGATTATTTCAGTACCCTTAAGTTAGTGCATCATGATACAAGCAAACAAAACAATCTGAAACGATACACAAAAAACATATTGTGACACAATATGGTACAATATATCATTGCTGTCCTACAGCATTATTGACTCATTCACCCCTGAAGACACATTTGAACTCTTCAAATTCAAAGGTTGGTATAATTCATTATGAAATTTCAGGGGTGAATGAGTTAATAATCATATAAGATCATAATACAAGTGTAGTGATGTTGTCCATAACATCATTTCATTTAGTTCCTGTAATGTTGTCTTATACACCTAATTTGGAAATACTGTTTACCAGTACATTAACTGATCAGTGAGATAAGGCCAGTAATCCCAAAAGACCAATATCAGGGACCTCAAATTTCCGGCAGGACACTTACTCCAGGATCTGGACATGCCTGCAGCTGTATGTACTGCCTCAGTTCCTAACCACCATTACCAAGAGCAATCATGCGTTTCTTATATTACTTTAACTCATTCACCGCTGAAGACACATTTGAACTCTTCCAATTCAAAGGTTGGAATAGTTCATTATGAAACTTCAGGGGTGAATGAGTTAAAAGTCCATTCACCTGAAAATTACTTATGATATTTGACTGCTTTAAATACATATTGATTTATAAATCATGTCACACAGACCTATGCAAGTTTTGGAGCAAAAGGTTTCATTCAATAATCCAACAGGTGGTTTAATTAACATCTGTATAGACAGTACAAACTAACTCCAAGGTAAATTCTGGTACACCTGTTTTTGAAAGTACACTCGTCTTGTATCTACAAAAAGAAAATGCGTGGCCCTACTACAGATTACTATGTATACATTACATGTACAACTGATCCCGATGGAATTTATAATGAGCATATAAAAAAAATATAAATTTCTCATTTATTACGCATTGCGCTGTTATATTTGATTCATTAAAACAATAAAAGCATAATTATAGCATGTTTCAAACATACTGCATAGCTGTTTGAATCCAAACCTTACTAAACCTAACAAATTATTCCTTTAATTATTTTTTGATCCCTGTGCCTTGCAGGGCCATCAGATCCCATGTCTTTGAACTAGGTAACTCTTGGGTTTTAGCTTGTTGCAGTTTCTTTTTCTCTTTTCTACTGAGATATGTTTTGGCAGGGCTATTTGTTATTTCAGATTGTACAGCATCGCCTTGCTCTTGGTCCATGTAAAGTCTTTCCACACTGTCCGACCCAATGTCCATCATCGAAGGGAGATTTGAACAGGACTCGTCATATTGTGACTTTGACCTTGATGAAACATGTGACTTTGATGTCATTATTGAATCACCACCAATCTTTGATTTCGATGAATCATGAGTCCCCGACTTAAATAAATTGCTGATCTCTGACTTTGTTAGATCGTCATTCTCCAAATCATGAATCTCGGATAAATCATCAATACCTAATTTCGGTGAACTTCCATATGGTATCTTTGGTGAATTAACAAACTTTGATTTTGGTAAATCACTAAACTGTGCTCTTGGCGATGCATGACCTAATTTTGACCTTGATGAATCTCCATACTGTGACCTTGGCAAATCAGCCGATTTTAACCTTGGTAAATCACCATACTTAGATCTTGGTGAATCATCAAACTTTGATCTCGGTGAATCACTGAACTTTGTCCTAGGTATAGTATCCGACCTCGACTTTAGTGTTGTTCCATACTCCACCCTAGATGAATCACCCGATTTTGATTTTACATTTAGAGAGTTACCAAACTTTGACCTTGGGTCATTTCCATATGGTGACCTTGGTGAATCACAAGATTTTGACTTTTCCCCATAAGGGGACCTTTCTTTGCCTGTATGTTGTGACTTAGGAGCGTGTAACATTTTCTGTGTTTTTGTCTCACCCTTTTCCTTTTCAGCTGTAACAGGTTCCAGGCGATTATACTTTGCCAGTATGCTAGTGAAAGGATTGACTCTCAGCTGAGCCAATTGCTCCTTGAAAGAAGGCTCTTTTGGGAGATCAGAATAGGAATGTTCATTGGTAGGCATTGGAAGACCTTTCAGTCCACCACAGTTACTTAACAAGGACATTTTATTACTCGCTGTCAATGAATTAAGGACATTTGTCAACCTTTCATTCCCTTCCACATTACCCTTTTGAAGTGCTTCCAAATTGTTCTGTACTTTTTGATTATATTTAATTACTTTCTGTTCTGTCCATATCTCTCCCGATTTCAGAATTCGTACTGCTGTAAATCGACTAACGGGAAAACTTTCGGTAATCTTGTCCAATGTCCATTCCTCTGGAAATTCTTTATTGAGGAACTTCATCTGTTCCATAGCCTCCCATGTCAATATTGGTGCTTCCTTTGGCATCGGAAAATTTTTCCTCTTTAGAATGTTTTGCTTTACAAATTTCCGATGTTCGTTTTCCATCCTGTAATGAAGAAATTTGAGCTATAATTCTTTCAACAAACAAGCTAGTACCTAAAACATATATACATTGAACTTGTGAAATATCATACAGACTATCGGTTTGATTTTCCAATCGATAATATACCACTTACTGTAAAATCATTAACTTTCGTGGGACATTAAATTTTGTTTATTTCGTGGATAACAAAAATCCACGAAATGAAATCCCCACGAAAACATCAATTTGGTATGATATAGATAGGGGAAAATCAAAAATCAGTGAAATATAATGTCCTTGAAACAGGCTAGTACATGAAAACCACGAAATTTTAACCTCATGAAAATAACTGATTCTATGTAGTATATTAATGAATATAGTTTCTAGATCTGATCCACGTAAATCAATGAACTAACCTTTATGCTGTTAATGGACTTCATGACATTTTGTGAGATGTAGCTACACTGTCAAGTGGGTTTTTATCGCATCATTATATCCTTGAGTTTGTCAGTGAAAATAACCATATAACATTTTTTCTTACAAACTAATGCAATATGACCTTTTGTGACATTGTAATTTAAATGATGATAAAATTATATGTCTCTGACTTCCAGTTTACATACATTATGACATCATAATGGAGACAGTATATACAAATATATGTAACAGGAGAGGAAAAATGCACAGCCAGACTAGGGTTCATACCCGGGACCCACCAAACTCTAGACGGACAATCTACCAACTGAGCTACCTGGTCAACGACGATCAACCCAGTCCAGTTCTGCTACATATGCCAATAGACAAATGGCAGCCTTTTTCACTTATAAGAATGATGAAAAACTAAACTTTTTTGCAATATTAACTAATTCTAGATTATAATCATGTGATAAAAAGGATATTAACGTTACATTGTTTCCATTTCATTTCATATGAAATAGATGAATGTTGCCAGGAATTTTTCTTTTTTTTTTGCTTGTTGGAGGCTCGCAAAAATGAAAGTAGACACTCATATGCAGTGTAAGAGTGTATACATTTATGTATGTTGGACACCATGCAATCATAGATTCACTTGGATCATTAAGCTGACAATTGGTGAATTGACTGAATTCACATATTTCAGTAAGCTGACAATTGTGGATTCGTATTGACCGATATTATGTAAGCTGACTATTGGTGTGGATTCACATGTTTCAGTAAGCCGACAAATGTGGATTCACATGGACCTCCAATAGCTGACAATGTGCAGATTCACATGGATCAGTAGTTATAAGCTAACAACTGGATAGTTCACATGTATCAACAAGCTGACAATTGTGGATAATAAGGTATCTGTATATCTCCCTAGCTTATCTGCATTTAAATCCTAATATGAATTCAATTGTGAAGAAACTGTACAACAGGTCCATATGCGACAAATGTCAAAACTAGCTTTGTTAAAAAATGTTAGAGACCATAAACTAGGACAGATAATATAGTTTATAACAGGTAACATGCCTATGACAAAACAGCAAGCCAAGTTTTGTTAAAATATAAAGGTCACTCTAACGAGTGTCTAGGGAGGAATTGATTAATGAACTCCTAGCTATAATATATAGGTGTGTGGAAATCTCCCTGGACACTCATTCCTCCAAAATAGGCATCTTTATCAATGTATTTCGGTACTTTCTACATGAATGATCGACCTTAAATTTTGTACACACTTAGGTAGGTACATAAAATTAATGAATTGGACGATAAATATCAAAACAAAATAAAATAACTAATTCCTGGACACTACCTGGAAACTCATTACTCCCTGGACACTCATTAGGGTGACCCAAATATATATCTCACTGTATATACATGTATCACTACCAAATCAAGTTATCTGTATTTGTAGAAAAATGTTTGAAAACCAGTTTCTTCTGGCGAATCACCACAGGAGCTTGAAATTCTGTCAAAAATTAATAATAACTGTAATCCAAAAAAATACCTATCATGTGCTTCAAAAATAGAAGCATATATTACAGGTATTTTTTTAATTACTGTTATTATTTATTTTGGACAGAATTTCAGGCTCCTGTGGTATTACCAACGGATAGGAGGGGCACACTTCAAACTATAATCACTGTGGAGGTGAGACTTGAATGTCTCCACAGTGGTTGACTGGACAATACTGTTCGAAAGTAGCCAGAGTATCCTCTGACCCTGACACCAGATTTAGATACTTTGACAAATAGATGTCTGTTGTGGGGGCCCAACATCAGACATCTATCTGTCGAAATGTCTAAGACTGGTGTCAGGGCTAGATGTTTGGTTTTTATTTTTATATCATCCTAGCAACAGCTAAGGTCATATAAGGAATGTGTCCACGAATAGTGGGGCCACTGACAGCTCTTTTAAAGTGCCACTGTACATTGAGATGTCAGAACCTGGACACGGTATCAATGACACCACAATCTGTCACATTATACTGACACCGATCCAACCAGTATTTGCCCTGACCGCCACCCATTTAATGCTGAACATCAAGCAGAAAACGGTTAGTACCAATTTTAGAGACTTTGGTTTGTCTTGGTCATGGTACAGCCACAACCTCCCTCGCTTAATTGGGCCAACGCTCAACATCACGGCCAAAAGCGAAATCTTGCCAAGAGAGGCATAAGAAAACGGAAAGACAGTTATAAAGAAGAGAAAAGATAGATCCCAACTATTGCAATTGGGTGCAGCAGATCAAACTTCTCTTCCATGCCCCCAGAAGGATCCGGAGGGCACAAAAGAAATCCTCGATTCTGCAGGGGAAACTCAGTATTAGTCCGAAAGTTGGTTCCAGTTTAAGATGGTGGGGGTTGCCCAATCAGTGGCTTGCTCGGACCTCTCTCTCTCTCTGACTCTCCTCAAAATATCTTTTTCTTCCCTTAACTCTACCTTTTACTCCATTTAAGTGATGGCGGACGGTCGGGTAAGTCTTGTTGGTCAGGATCGTCAGCATCACTTGCTAAATCAGACTGTAATCTGGTGCCAGTACAAACCCAAACCTGTCTTATCCTACCCTTTTCCTTCAATCTGTTGCCTTATTCTCCGAATAACTAAGTAGATAATTATTAATTATTTTGTAATAAAAACCCAATTTCGTGACAAAATCTTCAATTAGTTGAAGGTGGTCACTATACAGTATATGGTAGAACTAGAACTAGCCCGAGTTTCCTCTGGTTCTTTCACCAGACTTAGACATTTTGACATAGGCCTATAGATGTATGGTCACATATGTATGTCAAAATGTCTAAGTCTGGTGTTAGGGCCAGAGGAAACTCTAAACTAGAACTAGAAAGATCTAAGCTAGACTGTTTCCACGAATATATGAAATACAGCACACTTGGACTATTTGTTGATGACAGCATAATATACAAGACAATAAACAACAAAGAAGACACATTAAAACTACAACACGACCTCGATGCAGCAGGACAATGGGAGACAGACTGGTTAATGCAATTTCACCCCGACAAATGTAACATACTTAACATTAAACCGAAACACAACAAAATACACCATGATTACAAACTCCACAACCACACATTACACAAAGTAGAAACAAGCAAATACTTAGGACTAACACTACAAAACAACCTACGATGGGACAAACACATAAACAATATCACAGCCAATGCCAATAGGTCCCTAGGTTTTCTCAAACGCAACCTGAAAATAAACTCACCACATATAAAAGAACATGCATACAAAGCACTAGTTAGGCCTAAACTTGAATACTGCTCTTCCATTTGGGATCCACACAACACAAACCAAATTAAACAAATAGAAAAAACACAACGAAGAGCAGCACGCTACGTACAAAACAGATACCACAACACTAGTTCCGTAACAGACATGATCCACACACTTCAATGGCCAACACTACAAACACGACGCTTATACACTAGAATTATCCTTTTTTACAAAATTATACACAGAATCGTAGCTTTAAACCCAACACATATACTCACACCTGTAGACCCCCGCACCAGACAGGTACACCCGTACGCATACAAACACATATCTGCTACAAAGGACACCTACAAATACTCATTCTTCCCACACACAGTAACACAATGGAATCTCCTCCCCCTAGCAGCAGTCCAATGCACAACACTAGAGGACTTCAAGGCACACTTACCCTACACAGCCCTTGAAGCCCTCATCACACACGTGCACTAGTACATACACCAGATTTTAACTTTTTATGTATACCTTGCACAAAAAAAACCAACCCCACCCCTAATCACTATAAATAACCCCTTCACGCCTCTACAATAGGACCCCCATCAAACTGATGGAGCCCTCGTATAAAGAAGAAGAAGAGAAGAAGAAGATCTGTTTTTTGACGTGCTCGTACCTGGCCATGTCAGAACGGCCAAACACCTCTGGATCTTCATCGAGAAAAGCTTCTTCTTCTTCTTCTAACCAGTTGTTGTTTTTTCTTACTGAAATGTTCACAACAAAACGTGATAATCGGCTGTAAGACGACGTCAAAGACCTCAACCCTGACGTTAACGTCAACATGCTGGCGGATGTTATGTCAAAAAGTCAAAAAACTGTATGGAGCCGGAACATGCATTCCGGATGGCTTAATTAATAAATGATTTAGTCATCTAATGCAACAATTAATTTAAATTTATTTAAACACATGAAATATTTCCTAAAGCATAACATTATGTTTTTTTGTCAAATGTCAGGATATAAATGCCTGATCCGGTTTGACATTCCGTCTCGAACGGCCCGTCTCGAAACTTACTATATACCAAAATGGACACAAACACAACGAAATCTACACCAACATCGGGGTTTCAAATCCCTCTTTATGTTCTTGATGATTTATGCAGGTTTAAAGTATCAGTTCCCTAATGAAATAACATTAAGGAAACTATCCAGCTATCTTGAAAAAGCATATTAGACGAAAGTTCTCGAGTCTTAACATTTTACTTGTCTTTTTAAGGGGAGGGGGGGTATAAACTGATAGAGACTTATCCGTCTAGAATGATGATATCGGGGTAGGAACATCTTTTCAGCCTTTGACTCTATACGCAGACATGTCTGTACATCAATGTGTCTTCAGTTACGTTTTTACCCACTACCTTAACACGAGGATGTGTTGAAATTCAGAACATCTGAGTTTATTTAGCCCCGAGTTTCCTCTGGCCCCGACACCAGACTTAGACATTTTGACAGATAGCTGTCCCACACCAGATATCTATTTGTCAAAATATCTAAGTTTGGTAATTCAGAGCCAGAGGAAACGGAAACTCCGGCAAGAATTTATTTTTATCATGATTTTTAATATATAACGTTATGTACTTTGCTGTTTACAGTCGCTTCATAATCAACATTCCTGATGAAGAACGACAGGATCTCATCAGGATATTCTTCCAGATAGAGCTGGCACACTGGTTTTACCTGGATTTCTATTGTGCTGAAAATCAGGAACTCAGATCATGTGGAATAAAAGACTTTTCTGCACAAGATATCCTTTCAAACAGTGAATTTTATAGTTATTAAATAATTAGTTTATAAACTAAGAGCCTCCAAGAGCAAATAAAATGTACACTGCATATTGGTTGTACAACACATCATTTATCCTACTCTTCCAGGGGGTGCTCTTACATGGGATGGACTCTATAGACAGGGAAAAAATAAAACTGCATATACACAGTAGTTTTAAATAATCATATATACTATAATGCTATTTTTATCTAAGGACAATAATACTTACAGAGGTATGTGTAACAAATTCAGCATATAACTGAATAATTGCTGAAATGTTGGGTGTGTGTGCATATACTTTGCATGTATTGCCGCCTTTGATTATACAGGTTCTTATGTGTTTCCTTAGCTGTTTTACTGTTCAAGCATTGTCCATTTCTGAGTGGTCATGCAGGTGAGGTGGACAAGATTCTGGAAAATTGGCGCTCCTATAAGATGAGTGTTCCTACTTATGGTGCTATCATGCTGGACCCAGAATTGAAATATGTGAGTGTTTAAAAGGAGGGGAAATAATTTAAAATGACCAGATGGGGATTTAAACCTAGGACTTAAAACTTTGAACAAATACTCTAAACAATTGAGCTTCCTGGTCACCTGCAGTCACCTTGCTCAGCTGTATTCTAAATCACTGCTGAAGATTTCACTATATTTACCATCATATGGCATTGCCACTATATAACTCTATGAAATTTAGTTGGCATTCATGTAGGCTATGAATGCCATAGACTGGTTGTTGACGTCATCATTATTATGACATCATAATTGTTACATTAGATACCACTGACCCTCCCCGGGCGAAGGCTGTTATATTCATTGAACAGGCATAAACGATACATACATTATTTGAAGTGATTGCTGAATAATAATATGTGTAATATTTTTTTTATGAGAGCAACAGATTCCAAAAATGGTGAATGTAAGTATTGAACTGCTTTCAGTTGGCATTCATTGGGAATATCAATCCCAATTGGACAAAAGCAAATCCAGCATGAAGCACTTAACGAGCTTCATTAAATTTGGCTTTGTCCAATTGGCATTCATATTGCCTATGAATGCCAATTGAAAGAAGTTTGATGCTTGAATATTTACCATCTGGATTCAGGTATCTCCTTGCATAGCACACACATACTTTGTACAAACATTACTTGAAACAAGGGTTGTTAAAAGGCACCACAAAACAGGATAACAAAGATGTATACATATTTACCAAGTTCGGGTTTGGATCTGAACTTGGGACCTCCAAACTCAAAGCAGGTGCTCATACCAGTTTAGTTACCTACATTGTAGTCATTGCTAATCTCCTGGCCCAGTCCTGCCATACCAGTTTAGTAACCTGGTCACTGCTAATCTCCTGACCCAGTCCTGCTCATACCAGTTTAGTTACCTGGTCACTGCTAATCTCCTGACCCAGTCCAGCTCATACCAGTTTAGTTGCCTGGTCACTGCTAATCTCCTGGCCCAGTCCTGCTCATACCAGTTTAGTTGCCTGGTCACTGCTAATCTCCGGGCCCAGTCCTGCTCATACCAGTTTAGTTACCAGCTGGTCACCGCTAATCTCCTGACCCAGTTCTGCTCATACCAGTTGAGTAACCTGGTCACTGCTAATCTCCTGGCCCGGTCCTGCTCATACCAGTTTAGTTACCAGCTGGTCACCGCTAATCTCCTGACCCAGTTCTGCTCATACCAGTTTAGTAACCTGGTCACTGCTAATCTCCTGACCCAGTCCAGCTAATACAAGTTTAGTTGCCTGGTCACTGCTAATCTCCTGGCCCAGTCCTGCTCATACCTGTTTAGTTACCTGGTCACTGCTAATCTCCTGACCCAGTCCGGCTCATACCAGTTTAGTTGCCTGGTCACTGCTAATCTCCTGGCCCAGTCCTGCTTATACCAGTTTAGTTACCTGGTCACTGCTTATCTCCTGGCCCAGTCCTGCTCATACCAGTTTAGTTACCAGCTGGTCACTGCTAATCTCCTGACCCAGTACTGCTCATACCAGTTTAGTAACCTGGTCACTGCTAATATCCTGACCCAGTCATGCTCATACCAGTTTAGTTACCTGGTCACTGCTAATCTCATGGCCCAGTCCTGCTCATACCTGTTTAGTTACCTGGTCACTGCTAATCTCCAGGCCCAGTCCTGCTCATACCAGTTTAGTCATACCTGGTCACTGCTAATCTCCTGGTCCAGTCCTGCTTATACCAGTTTAGTAACCTGGTCACTGCTTATCTCCTGGCCCAGTCCTGCTCATACCAGTTTAGTTACCTGGTCACTGCTAATCTCCTGGCCCAGTCCTGCTTCAAGTTTATTCATCCAAGTTGAACTTCATTCTACATGTTCATTGTTATAAATTTATCAAGTTGCCAGCTTTAGATAAAAACAAAAACTGTTACAATAGACTTCAATGTTATCAATGTCTTTGATTTCCACAGAATATTCTGAAAGAACCATTTAATTATGCTTCATCTTTTGAAACAGTATACTTGATAAAAAAATATTTAATAAGTAACAGAAACAATTTAGTTTAGTGGGAACATTTATATGAAGAAAAAAGACTTGTGAAAGCTAAGTAGCATGGTAACTGGAACAGATAAGAGTACATGTATAAAGGCTAGCTAAGGGGTCATAATGCTAAAACGGATAGGGTTCCTATATGTTATTTTAATCTTGTTTGGATTTATTTCAGTAGATTCCCAAACATGTTATTATACAGTAATATTTTATGGTTGTGCGGATAACTTTATGTATAGGTGTCTGTTAGCTGTAATTCTCTGTTAGTGCTTTTAGATTTTCACATTTTGAGTGATTTTTTTTTTATATATATATATTATGAGGTCCTTTTAGTACTAGGATTTTGGACCAAGAGTAGCTGGGGTTTCCCTAAAGGCAAAGTAATATTTTATTGTTATGTGGGTAATGAGTGTCTGTTATATAAAATTAGCTGTAATTCTCTGTTAGTGCTTTCAGATTTTCACAAATCGATTTTTTTCTATATATATTACTAGGTCCTTTTAGTACAAGGGTTTTGGACCAAGAGTAGCTGGGGTTTCCCTAAAGGCAAAGTAAATGAAGAGGAATCCCCCCATGATTGTGCTGTGAGAGAGGTAAGTCATTCTATGAGTATCATTATTTTCTCTTACCCTTGACAGGTGTATCCACACTTTTACCAGTGTGAGATATATATCCTTGTCTCACCCTAGGGTTGAGACAGGGGGATTCTTATATTCGTAACAACGGTATGACGTCAGGTCAACAATACAATGACGTCACGCCTGTCATGCTATCATATCATTACATTATGTATATGATACATAATGGGTGAACAGGGTAAGAGAAAAAGAATCATTCACCCCCTTGAGGGTGAGATAGGGGTATCTCAACCCTCGGAGAAAGATTCTTAAGTTGCCAAACACTCGACAAAGCCTCGTGTTTGACAACTTAAGAATCTTCCCCCTTGGGTTGAGATTCCCCTAGCTCACCCCCAAGGGAGTGAGATATTCTATTAATCATGAATTAAACCCAATGGATAGCCGACACATGATTGCCAAGCTTTAGTATCTGGTGGTCTTATAAGTCCCCCACCGGTTCCCAGGGTAGGGGGACTATAGGTTTCCACTGTCTGTCCGTCTGAGAAGCTTGTCTGGAATATATCTTCTATACTGTTTCACCTGAAGTATCAAGATTTTGTGTACAAGGACATCTTGGGATGGCATAGTGCAAGAAGAAGATCCCTATGACCTCACTGTGACGTATGACTTGATCTTTAACCTTTACTTTTGAAGTGTACTGTTTGTTAAATTTAGAAATCATTACCAGTGGCAGTGGGTGACTATGGATTGCCTTGCAATACTTTGCCTAGTTGCACGACAATGATGAAACATTTGTTGACATTTCTTTCTCTACTGAACTTCAATAAATATGGATGGGCTTATTACCAGGCATTGTCCTATTGCAGGATGAATTCAGTAATGCAAAATTTAGATAACATGCAAATTAACTCTACAAAATATGCACATGTACAAATCTGTTTATACTGCCACCACTTGTGTAGCAAAATACAGGCATTATAGAGAGAATCTTTAACATTTCTTTAATAAAATACAGAATAATCTGGAAGTCCTGGCTGCAAGTGCTGTGTCATTATATTGAAGTTTTACTGTATTAGATCTAAATCTATAAACTACCCACCACCTACAGGCTTAAAAGCCTGTACCAAAACCCTCCTGAAAGTTGGCAAGACCAATATTAATATCATGGACAAATTAAACCAATATTTTTATCAACTGTGGTCTAATATTTCTTTTTGTTCAAATGAAAAGTTCCATGTCTTATCTACATGTACTTGTAAGTGTCTTATTGTGCAATAAATTCTCATGTAATGAAGATACCTTGATCACCTTCGTCACAGGTCGAGGAGGAAACTGGATTTGATATAGTCACACTGATAGACAAGAATGCATTTCTAGAGAACCACTTCAATGACCAGCTGACACGTTTGTATATCGTTCCGGGGGTCCCACTCAGCACAAAGTTCCAGCCAAAGACACGGAAGGAAATCAAGGTGTGAACTACATTTATAACTGATTCTAAGAGGATTGAGTGAGAAAATATAAAATCATAATACTGTATATATTTACTTGTATAATGTATATGATAAAACATATTGAATGAGTTAATTATACTTGGTCTACAGTAACGCTTCTTCCACTTTTTACAGGTCGTCCCCAGCTTTGCTATATGGAAAGATTAACCTGTCTTTATGTACCTAGGGGAAAAGACAGTTTACATATATTCTGAAGCATTACTGCTGCTTCATCTCTTTATAATACAGCATAACCATTGTGTGATGGGGAAGGGGGGGGGGGGGATATCAACGCTCTAATAACCTTGTGCTAAACCTCTAAAATCTTGCCATGGGGATGCGATATGGCTGTCCACATTGATCATACAGGAGTGATACTGTAAAATCATAAATTTTCGTGGGACATTAAATTTCGTTTATTTCGTGGATAAGAAAAATCCACAAAATTAAATGCCCACGAAAACATAAATTTGGTATGATATAGATAGGAGAAAATCAAAAATCAGTGAAATATAATGTCCTTGAAACAGGCTAGTATATGAAAACCACGAAATTTTCACCCCATGAAAATAACTGATTCTACAGTAGATTCCATTATTCTCACTGTTAAAAGTTATAATGTTATAACATAATTTTGGTCAACCATCAGTGATTCTTCACATGGTGGGCTGTTCAAATAAACTTTTGTCCTTATTTAAACAATTCTTGCACACAATATTTCTCAAGAGGCCTTGAGCAGAAATTTCTCAAATTTTACAAATAGGTTCTCCTTAGTTGGCAGTTGTGCATGTTCAATTTTGTGACTTGCCAGAAGAACAAGAAGGCAGCTTTTTGTCCCTTTTTTCTCAAATAAATGCATTGGTTGAAACACCGGAAGAATGTTACAGCAATGTTGTTTCAGTTAAAACTGATGATTTTAGCAAATCTGCAAGAATTAAGGACCACAAACCAATTACTTTACCAGTGGATTATTTATAAACAACCCTGTGAGTTTAATGGGTTTTTTAAAAATATTATACTTTTCACTTTCTATTATGATACAATGTACATTGCATTCCTCTCATAAAAGACCAGATAAAAATGTACAAGAAAAGAAATCTCAGCCACTTATTTTTAATTGAGCTGTTGAATTGATTTCCAGAGTCTGCAGTGGTTCCCTATCGAAGCTCTCCCAGCACACAAACATGACCAGACCCCGAAGCAACTAGGCTATAATCCAAATAACTTTTTCATGGTCATTCCATTTATTAAGTAAGTACAGAATATGATAGTTTTAGGATGGGTTTAGAAACAAGAAACTCTCAATCAATCGTCACAGTTTAAAACTGTCTTTAAGTTACTTAACCAGAATTCAATGGGGGGAAATTTCCTTTACGTTAATTGATAAAGCAGTTGTCCAGTAATCTGTAGTGCCTGGTACAACTCCGGGATCCTAGCAGATTTAGATTGAGATTCACTTGGAGAAAGTTACTTCAGTTACACAATGATCAACTATTTATGACAGCTCACATTCTATGTTAACTCAATATCACAAGTCAATATTGTGGGAAATTGGAGTATAAGACTGAATGAATTAAAATTCAGTCTTACATGTACTGGTATCTTTGGGGGATTTCTTTTTCTTTTTCATTTTTGTTGAATACAAAAAATATAGTTGTTTTTACGATAATTAATTAGGATGATACATTATCAATCAAAATTCTCCTACATGTATATGTTCTATAGGTCAACGTGATAGATTGTTCAACAAGCTTTTTTTCTGATTGGCCTGAAAGGACTTTCGTAAGATACATGTCTATTGTACATGTATGTAGCAATCACGCAAGATATACAACACATATCCTGTTTGTCTATTGACATTTCTTTGCCCAGATGCTAACTTCTTAATGAATTGGTATAAGTCTCAAACTTGGTATATAGGTTGAAAAGATATAGTTGTTTTAAAATAATGAGCATGGTTCTTAAACGTCAAAATCACTGCTCGAAATATAATTTACTTGTCTGGATCCTAACTTAAAAACAAATGATCCTATGAAGGGTAGACGTTTGGTACAGTATGAGGGTCACCCAATGCATGCATATATGAAAGTACAATTTGCTGATTTCCCTATTACTAGGAGAGACCAAACAACCATAGATAGTTAAAAAAAAATTGCTGAAAAAAAAGTATTTTCATGTGTTGAATTTATCATTATAATAAATCAGATTATTACTTGATAATATTAAAAATTGATGTCCTGTAATGTACCTTTATGTACTAATATGTTATGTATTAATGTCGGCATGATTGCTGTATACTGGGAAATTGTCGCTGGAGTGTAATTTTTGCCTGCCCTCCGTAATGATGGTGAATTTATCATTACAATAAATATAAGTAAACGACCTTATGAAAATAGTAATAAATGTGAAGGGTGAAATTAAAACTGGGCCAAAATTAGTTTTATGGTAGGAGGGGGAAACTTCCTGATATAGAGTACCATACTGTTACTTTTATACACTTCTCTAAACAGTAAATTTCAAAAAGTGAGAAAAAAAAATGTCATTCTCATTGGAGATCAAATTTCTAACATACAAGATTAGAAGTCTCAAATATTTAAAATAAAAAAAATAAAAACTTACTTTTAGTGACTTGATTCCTATATGAAAGGATTGTAAAAAACTTTCCAAATAAACACAAAATGGCATTTTTCATTCAGACCTCTAAGGAAGTGGCTTGCCGGGAGACAGAACCTTTTAGATGCTGATCTAAGTGAGCACACTCAGCACAGTAATTCCAATCAACACAAACAAATAAAGGGTGGCATCGGGCCAAATGAAGCGCGACACCATCGTGAGAAACAGAAACAAAAACTACAACAGTTCTTTGCACAGCAAAACCAGCAGGAATATCAGGATTACCTACAGCTCAATGAAAACGATTCTAAGTCCAGAACAGAGTCTGTTAATAAAGATCTCAAGTCTAGAACAGAATCTCCTCGCAAGGAGCCATACCACAAGGGGAGACAACTGGAGAACAGCGACCCATCACAAGGCAAAAAGGGGTACCATATTATGGTAAGGCAAAAAGGGGTGCCATATTATGGTAAAGATTTTATCTGTTTTAGTTTTGTTGCTATATTTTGTTTTGTTTGATATTGGCCTATATTTGGCATGAATTTGAAGACAACATCTGAAAGGCCATGTATTGGGTATCAATATTAATCATAATTATGTTGTACTCTTTATATAATCTATTACAGAAAATTTCATTACAAAGAATGGAATCACCAGCCAGATATCAAGTTTTGTATTAATTTGTATCAGTAATTTCGTAATAGCTGAAAATGAGATTACATGTTGGTAAGGTGGTATTTCTGACATATATATATATATATATTTATAATAAAACTGCTGCGATTTGATTGGCTTATAGATTCAGAGTGGTGCCATTTGAAGGAATTATCAGATTTTGACACAAAAACTGTTCTATGCAGTGTCTATGGTTTTACGTTTGGTGACCTCTAACATAGATAATTTCAATGCAATGTGACCTGTTGAATGATATTTTAAATTCGATTTGAGCTCTAATACAGGAACTTTGAACGTAGAATGTTGCTATTAATGACTTTTACATATACACAGTGAAAGTGGCTGTGAAGGCAATCCTCAAAGGCGAACTACTAGAAAACTGTCTGCCTGACAAAACCTGATTTGAATTGGAATAGATCACTTTTGCTGGGTAGCCAAATTGCTTTGGTCTAAACATTTCAGTTTGTATAATCAGTTGACATTTTATGGCCAACTAGGTTTTCGCCTTTGCTTGCCTCCAATATACTGCATAAACTATATAGGCCTCACTCCCCTCTGGTTACAATCCGAGTGTAGTTTATGGAACGGAGGGTAGATCAAGGTATGGTTTAAATCAGATTTCTCTGGTTATGAAACTTGCCTGATATGCTTTCTGACATTGTCCCCGTCTCAGGTTACATGTATATTCCTACTCGTCCAAGCCAAGCTGGTCCTGATGATGACCGCAATGAATTTCTTTTAATTAGTAAACAAATGTGTGGTGTATTTTGTGGTGATTTGAGTTCCAAAAGGAACAGAAATGGTAACATCTTCTAATGCCTATTGATTCTTCTCATGAATAAATGTTAAAATATGTTTGCCAAACTTAACATACCTCCCCATTCTTCCTATTTAGGAGGGTGTCTCCCGATTTTGGACCCTTTGTACATGTAATTCTAAAGGGTTATTCTGTCTTGTGGGGGTATATGCATCCACTGTTTTTCGGTTTTAGTTTTCAGAATGCAGAATCTCTCCCATGGAAATTTCAAAAACTTGGTTGTATGCAAACATGTTTTAACATTTATTCACGAGAACAGTTTGTTTTTATGTATTACTGTATCCTGAAGTAATCTCTGGGAGCCAACACATAATACATTGTACTAGACTTAAATAAGGGTTGGATTATCACAAAACAATAAAATAGCATTTGTTTGTGTTTCAACTGAAATGCAATAGATCATGTCAAAGGGCTTATAACCAGAAATGGTATATATTTATTGGTATTTTAAAATTACTATGTGCATTTCAGAATCGGGATGGAACGATTAGTGGATCTTCCAGAAGAAGTTTAAATCCTCAGTTTGAAAACAGTCCAGGTAATGGCATGTCCACAAGGATAGATTTATCCCACATTATCACAAACATAAATTAACTTTATGATAAACTTTACTGTACAGGTAACGTTTTACTCCTTTCCAAAGCAATTCAACAATAAGAAAAGAAATCCATCTAATGTTGTTTTATTAATAGCAGTTTGAACTTGATAACTTGTTTATGTCAAATTGGAAAAGTACTCATACAATGGATAAAAAAAACACATATGTTATGCAATTCTCATGTAATAAATTTGTCATAGTGGCAAATAATATATGACATTAGTCATTAAGAGATTGAAGTTGACGTACAAGATTCTCGTTTAGGATTTTCAATATGGGACTAGAACCTGTAAGGAAAATGAAGAGCAAAGCAGATCCAAGATATTTTTTTGTAGATCTAATAAAGATCCTTTCATTGTTGGCGCCAAGATCCTTCTGGGAACTCTTGTTTTGAAAATTATCATACAATTATTTTACATCTTTACAGGTCTAAAGCAGGGTCAGCCATATGATAGAAGCAGAGTTCCGACTTTGATATTTGACAGAACACAACCCCCTCCTAGTCTTCCAACCAAACCCCAGCATGACAGGCCCAACACGCAACATATGAACTCTCCATATGGCAAAGGACAGTTTAATCAAAAGAAACATAAATATGTCAAAATCACAGACCCTGACGGACTCGGGTCAGAGGCATGGCTAAACTTTCATTTCGACATATCAGCAATCATGTCCTGTATTCAGTGAAGTGCTTGTAATGCATAGAGCTTGCCAGGATGTTTTTCCTAACTTTAAAGTGACTTGGAATACGAGGATGTGCATCTTTTCTCTCATGAATACACAAAAGTACACAGAGTGCCATCTGTATTGACAGGTGTTTTAGGAATGTGTAAAGAAAGTTAGTATGTTGTATCTGGACAATATCAATGGCATTCTTGGTAGATTCTCACAAGTAAATTCATGTATATCAGTATCCTTAGTACGTTTTGTCAGTGTGCGAAGGAAGAGGGTGTAATTACACCGCTATAAAAGTGGAAATTTCCACCTTGTGGATATGCTTGCATTTTTAGCTTTGTGCTAACCGTTTCACCCCTAGGTAACTTTAGTAGACTCTACCATACATTGATCTGGATGAGTCCATTATGGTCTAAAGTGGTGAAAGGGTTAATTAGTGTAAAACTATCCACACTGGAATATGTATTTATAGATTATATAGATTCTAGATATATATGATATATAGATTTCAGAACCATCGCTGATGTGAAAAATTCCACAACACGATCAGTTTAAAGAATTCCAATGCAACTGTTTTGAGATGTGAACATTTCCACTTTTCAGTTTGGTAGCCCAAGTTTCCCCTCTGGCCCTGACGCCAGACTTAGACATTTTGACAGATAGTTGTCCCACACCAGACATCTATCAGTTAAGATGTCTAAGTCTGGTGTCAGGACCAGAGGAAACTTGGGCCTACAGTTTGGTAATATGTGAAGTAAGTAGGTATCTTTAATATTCTTGTTAATATGTAAAGACAGCTAATGTCTTTAAAATTCTTGTTAATATGTAAAGAAAACTAGTGTCTACGTCATTATTGTTCATGTGTAAAGAAAACTAGTGTATGACATTATGGTAAAGAAAGTTATATAAATTTGATGTATATGTCATTCCCAATCATGTGTAACAAAAACCCTTCTTTGACATTCTTGGTGATGTTTCACCAAACATGTATCTATGACACTATTGGTAATGTTTAATGAAACATGTATCTATTACATTCTTGGTAATGTTTAACGAAACACGTATCTATGACATTCTTGGTAATGTTTAATGAAACATGTATCTATGACATTCTATGTAATGTTTAACACAACATGTATAGACTATGATGTTCTTGATAATGTTTAACAAACACGTATCTTTGATGTTCTTGGTAATGTTTAACGACACACTTATCTATGACATTCTTGGTAATGTTTAACGAAACATTTATCTATGACATTCTTGGTAATGTTTAACGAAACACATATCTATGACGTTCTTGGTAATGTTTAACGAAACACATATCTATGACGTTCTTGGTAATGTTTAACGAAACACGTATCTATGACATTCTTGGTAATGTTTAACGAAACATGTATCTATGACATTCTTGGTAATGTTTAACGAAACACATATCTATGACGTTCTTGGTAATGTTTAACGAAACACGTATCTATGACATTCTTGGTAATGTTAAACGACACACGTATCTATGACATTCTTGGTAATGTTTAACGAAACACATATATATATGACATTCTTGGTAATGTTTAACGAAACACGTATATATGACATTCTTGGTAAGGTGTGAAAGAAGCTAGTTTATATGACATAATGGTAATACATAAATTAGGATGTATGAGATTCTGGTTTATTGTGTAAAGAAAGCTTGTCTTTATGTATATTACATATTAATGCATAAGGAGATTTGATATCTATGATATTGTTGGTAATGTGTGAAGAAAGTTTAAGTATGATATCTATGACATAATTATGATGATATCTAGGACATTTGAGGTTATGGAAATCAAGGAATTTTGACTTTTTTGTAAATCTGATTCAACAGATATTTTTCCCTGAAATTACAAATTAACACATTTGGAAGTCATTGTGTTTATTTAGTGCCCTTTCTTTCTCATGTAATTATTTTTGTTATAGTTTAAAAACTATTTCTGGTAAATCTACATGATATATCATAAATGTTTTCATAGATCCAGAAAGATGCTTTATTAATAAGCAGCCCCCATTACTCCAATATTTTTAAGGGCCAAGTGTGCTAATACAACAAATACAGAATATTTATCTTGCATTAAATACTGTTTATATTTTTTACTGAACACTTCCATTTATTATCACAGAATGATACGAAAATGTGCCTCACAAAGGAAGTAATGTTATTGTGACTAGACGTTATCATACAGACAAAAGATTATTTAATTTTGCAGGAATAAAAATAATCTCAAAGTTGTTGATCTGATATCGTGTTTATGCTGGTGTTCAACTGACAGTGTGAGTTTGTATACATAAGTTCTTGCATGTCCAAGTATTGCTTCTGATAGCTATCTCAAAATATAATCCTAAACATTCCGAAAATGGTACAGAATAACACACTTACCCTTAAAACAAAGATTTGTATGAAGTACAATTTATATAAAAAAAAAGTATTATCACAGAAAATCGAACTCCAAACTAGAGAAACTGTGACCAAGATAACGAAGACATGCCCCCGCTAGGGCTTACGAGGTTTCCGGAGCAGTAATCAAAGTTTCATGGGCCATAAATTCAGGAAAATATTCTATTTTTCGCAGTCAGCCAGCCACTGTTTGTGTTCAAATAAATGACCTTGACTTATATCCAAGGTCACAGGGGTCAAATATGTTAAAAACATTTAAACAACTTCTTCTGAAAAACCAAGAGGCCTAGGGTGATAATATTTGGCCAGTTACATGCTGGGATGAAGGGCTGCCAGGATTTTTCAAATAAATGACCTTGACTTATATTCAAGGTCACAGAGGGCAAATATGTTTTAAACATTTAAACAACTTCTTCTGAATAACCAATAGGCCCAGGGTGATGATATTTGGCTAGTAGCATGCTGGGATGACGGGCTATAAAGTTTGTTCAAATGAATGACCTTCATCTTTGATCAAGGTCACAGGGTCAAATATGTTCTGAATAACCAAGAGGCCTAGGATAATGCCAGAAACATGCTGGGATGAAGGACTACCAAGTTAAAATGAATGACCTTGACATATATATTTTAAGGTCACAGGGGTCAAATATGTTTAAAACCATTGAATGACTTCTTCTTAATAAGCAAAAGACCAAGGGTGATGATATTTGGCCATTAACATGATGGGATGAAGGACTACCAAGTGAATGACCTTTGCCCATATTCAAGGTCATAGTGGTCAATATATGTTTAAATCTTAAAAATGTATAACCAAAAGGTCCAGGGCAATGATATTTTTCCAGAAGCATGCTGGGTTGGAAGACTATAAACTCTGTTCAACCTAATATACTAATGTCCTTGTTCGACATTCAAGGTCACAGGTGTCATATGTTTAAATCTTTTAATAGGTTCTTATGAATGAAACACTGAAATTTTGCCTGTAGCTGTATTGAAGTCCACTTTTAAGATTACAAGTGAAAGATTAATACCAGGTGAGCGATGCAGGCCCATTGTGCCTCTTGTTTTAATATTAATGAGGTTGACGTTAGCAGCGTGCCAAGATTCGTCGTGTGATTAGCTGGAAGTGAAGCCATTTTTTTGCTAAACCAACCAACACTGCATGTTTCAGCACGCGCTGACCTCATTAATATTAAAAAAAAGTGGCAGGTTGACTGCGAAAAACTTTGAAACACTGAAATGGCGTGTGTTTTTTGAGGAAACAGGAGGTTTTTGAAAGACAAATTATCCATCTTTCCAGAGGTACTAAGCATTTTCCCGTAGATCAACTACCAATGTTGATTTTGATGCAAGAAAGTTAGTTGAGGTAGACATTTCAACATCGAAAGCTTTCCTCTTCTCGTATATCATCACATATGTAGTCTATAAGGGGTGTCATTTTTATGGAAAGTGGATCTAAACTCCTAAAACATATGATATTTGGATCTGAGCATCTTAGTTTAGGTCCAAATACAGCTGTAACAAATGCTCAGGTCCCTGTGGTCTGTTCATGTACATTTTCAATTAGAAATCCAATATGGCCGCCACAGTCGCCATTTTGAAAAACTATTTCAAACTTAAAGTCAAGTTCTGCTGGGCCGATTGAACTGAAAGTTGGTAGAAATGATCGATTCATGGTCCTGACAATTTTTTTTTCTTTTTTTCGGGTCGATCAGAAATCCAATATGGCTGCTACGGCCGCCATTTTGAAAAACTATTTCAAACCTAAAGTCAAGTTCTGCTAGGCCAATTGAACTGAAACTTTGTAGGAATGATCGACTCATGGTCCTGACAAAGTATTGTTATTTTTTGGGTCGATGTCCATCGTCCGTCGTCCGTTAACATTTTACATTTTCAACTTAAGCTGAAATTCTGGCAAAGGGATTTCTTTAATATTTCATGGGAAGGTTACTGACATCTCCCTGACCAAGTGTTGTTATTTTTTGGGTCGATCAGAAATCCAGTATGGCCGCCATGGCCGCCATTTTGAAAAACTATTCAAACTTAAAGTCAAGTTCTGCTAGGCCGATTGAACTGAAAGTTGGTAGGAATGATCGACTCATGGTCCTGACAAAGTGTTGTTATTTTTCGGGTCGATCAGAAATCCAATATGGCCACCACGGCCGCCATTTTGACAAACTATTCAAACTTAAAGTCAAGTTCTGCTAGGCCGATTGAACTGAAACTTTGTAGGAATGATCGATTCATGTTCCTGACAAAGTGTTGTTATTTTTCGTCTCAATCAGAAATCCAACATGGCCAGCACGGCCGCCATTTAAAGTCAAGTTGTACTTGGCCGATTGAACTGAAACTTTGTAGGAATGATCGACTCGTGGTCCTGACAAAGTTTTGTTATTTTTTCGGGTCGATCAGAAATACAATTTAGCTGCCATGGCCGCTATTTTGAAAATACCTATTTCAAACTTAAAAGCAAGTTCTAATAGGCCAATCTAACTGAAAATCGGTCTAGGAATGATCAGCTCATGGTCGTGACAAACTTAAGTTAACGTTATACTTAACAGTTTTTTACTCAAATTGGTACATATTTCAACAACAAAAATAAATACTGTAGGACTCGGGTGACCGTTAAGGCCCATGGGCCTCTTGTTGCATCAAGTGACAAATGTTTGCGCGCGCAAAAAAAAAGGATTATCTATAGGTCACCTTGCTTGTCAAAGGCTTATGATGGACAATGACGTAGACACGAAACAGACTTTCGTTACTTTTACAAAGATTTTCGTTACATTTAGATTTCGTAAAACAAGCAACTGCTGGCCGCGACGTCCAGCCTTCGTAAATTATATTTTCCAACATTTTCTTTCCCTCGTCATACATTTTAATATTCCAACATAATATAACGCACATACGTTGACTGTTTCTTACACAATCTTACTTTGAAAGGCAAAGCATGAAGTATGAATTAAGTATGCATATAAGTTTGGATCAAAATCATACAGATGAAAAAATAAAAACAGACAAGAGAAAAAAAAACTTTCATAAAGCCAATGAAGATAATACGATAGTGGACGCTAAGATGAACCCGCTGTGATCTTGTATTTTTTAATTCATACTTTTACACCCAATTTATTATTTTGCAGCCAAAGACCTTACTTTTGCTATACCTAAATTTTGGGAACAGGTACCCGTATTCGTTTGTCCGTGGTTGTACATGTTGATCCATTTCGGGACTGATCACAGAACAAGATGGCTGCATGACGGCCGCCGTGGATTCTTAGTTGCAGTTTGTTATCTCTATTTCTTATAAAGTATTGAAATTAAATTTCTTATAATTCACAAATAGGTTACCTTATTCTTATGGCGTGCAAGAACAAACCGACCACAGGACAACCATCTTGGATTTCAAAAGTTGAAGTTTGTTATCGATTTATACTCTTTAGCGGAAAATGCTGTAGCGGAGATGTACTACTCTTCGATGCTCAGTTTGACGCTTAAGCTTCCTTTCGGTACATTGTTGTGCATGTTCAGACCTACAGATGTATGATACAAAAATAATCAGGTAGCGAGGATGTTTAGTTATCACAGTTGGTCAAATGAATAACATTAGTCTTCATTCATTGTCAAAGGAGTCAAATGTATTAAAATATCTCTATACGTTCTCAACTTCCAGAATGCTTTGGGTTATGATATTTGACCAGTATAGGTAGTTGGGATGGAGGGTTATCGAAGTTGCTCAAAGGAATAAACATGAACTCCATTCAGAACAGCAAAACTCAGATATGTTAAAATCTGTAAATGACTTTCATTTAAGATAACAGTTTTAAAACATTCAATTTTAAGCTCACCTGTCACGAAGTACCAGGCTAGCGAGCCAAGGAGGGGGAAGTACGACACATTTTCCTTAAATAAAACAGACATTGCCATACTTTCAATGTCAAAGGGGTTAAATAAGTAAAAATATATGATGAAGAAAACAACTCTTTAAACGACTTCTCCTGAATAACCAAAACGGCTAAGGCTGATGATATTTGCCCAGTAGGTATTTATATATAACTTAACTGGAGTGCTATAAAACCTTACCTTATAAGGGCGAATATATTTATATACATATGAATAATTTTCGACAATTCGTCTGATGTATCTTTCCAAGGAGATTGTTATTCAAAGAAAAAAATGTCAACGAATGATTGATCATTTTTAATTTATGCACTTTTAAACACCAGGTAGATGGATGGTAAAAAGTTTATTTGAAAGCAAAAAGCAGAACTTTTTACAAAAAGACAAACCAAGCAACGTTCAATCTTGTTGTCGCCTTGCCACGCCATGCCACTTTTGTGCCTACCGAATCATCTATGACGATTGATTATCAATGGGAAGCGTCACCAGTACATCGCTCTGGAATCAGCTCCCCTGACTTGCTGAAAACGGTTCAGGTTAGTAGCTGAAGTGTAGCAGTCGTGGTACCACAAAGTTCCATGGCTATTAGTGACCTCGCTGTCGTACGTGGCAAAGGAGTGTCCATTACTGCTGTTTATGGCATCAACTAAACAGGGACAAATCCTACAAAAAGGAATTATCATTGTATTAATAAGGGTTTTTTGTTGATCAAATTATATGTTATAGATACAGGAATTCGTATTCGAAATGAAGGCCTATATATGGGCACCTTTCATTCATTATAGATGAATTTGTTGGTATCATATGATATAGGTACATGGGGTAGTATGTTTTAATAGAAGATAATCGGGTACAGAAACTGATGTATTAAGGACAAACGATACAACAGAAACGTTGCCGAAACCCCCTTCATATGAAGTCTGTCAGATTTTCGTCGGCCTTC